GGGCTAATACATGAGGTGTGAGCTGGTAAAACCTGAGGAACTAGTAAATTGCAATTCACAACCCCGCACTACAGTACTTGAAAGCCATTATTATGTGTCCTTCCTATTATCTTTTATTAAATTCTGTACAACAAAGTATTTATTGATTACGGTTTAACTGAATTGGATTTCAGCATTTAACATTCCAAGATTAATTAAACTTCAAATGAAGAAAAAGAAATTTGTGTACCACAAACAGCTTCATTCAGCATGTCATTAAATACTGTACACAGAATTTATTGTTTTCCTTAACAAATTAACCAGAGAATCCATAATCTTTATGCTTAGTATCGCCAACTATACACATAAGCTGGAATGTTAAAATACCAGACTGAACTTTAAAAACCAAAATCCCTCCTTACCCCACCCTTTTTTCATAATAACAATACATAGTACAGTAGTCCAGTTTGAAATTGAAGTAATTTTATGGCTATTTTGTAAGTATTTCTATCTTAGGTGTGTTTAGTAATCCTAACGTTTAATGCCTGTTTACGTATCTGTGTGAATTTGATGATAAATTTTAACCAAGGTTCTTCAATGGGTGATGAAGTGGAATAAACAAGATAGGCGTAAATAAAAAACAAATAACAGTTGCAATAAACAGAGGGGAGGAGTAAGAGCTAGTAAACATAGGCATTAAAATACATTGGAAAAAACCAGTGATAATAAATAAACAAATAACAAACAAAGTAATTTTATAGATTAAGCTTTCATCCTTAATCTGTCAGTTTAATGTACACAAACATTAACAATCATTTTTCAATAGAAATACTTTATAATCATATAAAGTGCATAAAAAACAATTAAGGTAATCTGAATTTTACTTTAGCTAAAAGAATATTTCTTTGTGCAGATTATTTAGGAGTATAATAAAAGACTTCCATTGTCCAAATGAGTTATGACTCACAACTATGGATATAAAATGAAAATAATCAGATGCAAATTACCAGATAAAACGTACATTACTCTAAAAATGAAACCAATTCTCAACAAATTCAAAAACATTATCCGTACTTTACAAATATAAAAAGCTTCAAACCAATTTTAAACCATAGCAAGTTTGAATTCACAATTTTTTTATGTAACCTATTAGCCTTTTGAAATTGCTGAAGATTTATGAGCATAAATTTAAGTCAGTGACAGAATAATCTGGTACGTAAATGTTCTGAAGACAGAATTATACAAATTTTGCCGGAAGGAATTGGGCTTTGGAATGTTGTCACACACTGGCTGGTAAAAATAAGGTATCCATTTATCATTTTTACTACATATATTTCATATTGGCTACAGTATTATCAAAGTGGAAACAGTGTTACACTGAGAGAAGTCACATGGGCAGAGTGTATGAAACAGAAACCGTCCTTGTATTCTAATTTATAAATAGTATGAATGTATGAAATATATGACTAAAATATTAATCTACTTAGGTATTGCAGTAATGTATGGTAGTGAGTAGTATTGGAATTTTTCTCACAAATCTAAAATCAGAATTACAGTAGTATACAGCATCTCTGTAGACTACATACTTAACTTTAGCAATTATTTTTTTATCCAAATTAATAATGTACCCAGAGGGTCAGCTTTGCAATCTGATTGGGACCTTAGGACATGTAAAACAAAAAATGTTCTCGTCCAGGTAATATTTTGAAAGAAGGAGAATGAGAGCACTTTTTTTTTTTACTCCGAGATGGCAAATTCAGGATCGTCGATGGGAAAGAGCTACTACTGTACTTCCTTACTTTTACCAAGTTGACACATTGAAAGCAAATAAAAGAAGCATTAGACATGATTCATACAATATGTATCCCAAACCACAAATGATCAAGAGAGGAATTTTTTTTTTTTTTTTTTTTTATAGAGTGCACTTGCGAACAGGGGCCACACCGGTTGCAAAAAACACACCCGATGGGCCAATCAATGGTTCGCTGCAACCGAAAGTTAAAAACTGAAAAGTTTATTTTGGAAAGCTTAGTTTTTTGCTTGTTTGGTTTTTTATTTATTTATTTATTTTTAATATATTTTAATTTTTATCAGAAATGTGAGGTTTGAGGTACTGTAAGTGTTTGTGCGCTCTGCACTTGAAATTCTGAATTGCCGCTATAGCAATATTCCCCACTACACTGTCTGGAAGAGAGTTCCAAACCGGGACTGAAGAATGGATGAACATTTCGTAAAATAAAGGAAATTTAAAAAATATTTTTAAAAAATTGGTAAGGCAGAGAAAATGGATGCGCGAGGGGATGAGAAACTAAGTAATTTTTTTATTTAGCCCTAATTTTTTATTTAGCCCTAATGTGACATAGCTTTTTCAAGCAAAAGTAGTATTATCAAAATGTTCTGTAGGGTCTAAACATTATACAGGATAGACTTTTACTGTGAATACATTGGCATTTGTAACTTGTTTTTGTAAAAGTGCTGAAATTAAATACAAAAGAACATGAAGTCAGCTGCAAGCAGACCTGACTTTACGAGTAATGGTCTACCTAAACACTCATCAAATAAGCCACCTTTCTCATGCCCTAATCAACTAACAAATCCACTTCCTTGAAATAATAAAAAAAAATAAGTTTTCTTTCCCAAGTGAGTGTTTATTTCCCTAGACCAACCTTTAAGACTCAAGTCAAGTATTTTGAAATGGACACCACACTTGCCTTGGGGCACATCTGAGCATTCCAAGCATTAAACATCCAAACTAATCATACTTTTTAGGCTAGAATTTGAACTATAATATTCACTAGTGACCCCAAGGGACTGCAGAATTAACAGTAGCATTTCTTCACCTGGTGGTGCAGCCAGAAGGTAGTTTCTATCTGTGTTCTCCAATCGGAATAAATTGTAATCTATCTGGGCGAACTGTGTGAACTCACATCAGGGAAGCGAAAGATGAGATGCAAAAGCAAAATTGATTTGGCAAGGGTTCATCTCTAGATTCTTCTAGCTGTGATTTCAGACATTGGTAACATATCTGATCCACTGATCTGACTGGTTACAAATAGACTCATACTATGAAAATCCATGTTAGAATTTAATGTACTAGAAAAGTACAGTAACAAATTATAGTGGTAAATTTATTAATACCGTATATACTTGCGTATAAGTCGAGGACTAAAATAATAATAACAATAAACTTGGAACTCGATCAATGACTTTCTTCGCCCCTAAGGGTCCCTTCGTGTCTGTGCTACCCAGTAACCCGGTACCAGCAACTCTCGTTGTCCACCACAGGGGCTGTCTGTTCTAGTACACAAGGGTATCCCCTGCTCATCTTGAAAGATGTACTGGGTTCAGTGCACACGAGCCATTGTATACACTGGGCCTACGGTTTATAGTCCTTATCCGAGAAGACTTGTTCTACCACCAGAACCATAGGCGAGCGCGTGCCGATCGAACCAGCGTCGATATTATGGCTATAGCTTGCGGCACCCCTGCTAACCGCTCAGCAATTCGACTTGCCTAAAGTAGCAATTTACAATAAAAAAATAGGGGGTCATCTTATATGTGCAACATACAAATTTTAGATTTCAAAAATCATTTTCGTCTTTTGTGCGGCTCGTCTGTAACATATGCATTTACTACTGCAATGAAGCTAACTACAAAGCTACTACAGTAGCATTTAAAATCTCATAAAATGGTATTACTTGGAAGAGAGCTCTAAATTTGGCTCTGTTTTTAGCCAGCTAGATGCAGTATCAGACCATAAAAAGCAGCAAAAATTATAAATTCCAACGGTGAAATGGGGGGGGGGGCAGTGCTTATACGTTCGACATACAAAATCATCCAAATCTCTTCTCAAACTCGGGGGTTGTCTTATACACAGGTTGCCTTATACGCGAGTATATACATGGTACTATATTAGCATCATATTATTGCTAAACACTATGAAACATATCTTTATAATAACTACTGTATTCTTTGCAAAAAGTCAAAAGTCTCATTTACGTTTTACTGTAGGTATTGCAATCCTCATTAGTGTTGCTCTAAATCAAAGGACGTATTGTGTAAGACATACTGCTTAATTTTGAGGCAATTATTGGGTTCAATGGAGCAAAACCATCACTTTCTGTTTGGTTTATTAGACACTTAAAGCAATTAATGACTTTTAACTGGCTTGGAGCTAGATTTTTAATAAGCTCTGGACTGTGCCTACTAATACACTACACATTAGGTAGAGCAGGGAGTTTTTATAGTGGGTAGAGCAACGTGACAGCAAATGTTTTGCTGTAGCTAGACTTCCTGTACATGTCTGATGTTCGTGGTAGGCTCCCAGATTTATTGGTCTCTAGCTACTGTAGTCAGAAGCTCTGGTTACTGGCGGATTCACTAGTCTGGAGTCAGGAGATCCGGTACTGGATACGTTGTTCTCAGGTCTAAAAGATCCGATACGCACGATAGCCCTATAGAACATGTTTGCTGAATTCTAATATTAAGATCGGCTTTACAGATCCAACACAGAAACCTTTGTAGCATTGTCAATAATGCTTATGACAATGTGTGCAGGTTTATTGGCATATTATAGCCTGTAAATTATGGTTACAACACCTTGGTGCAAGCATAGCAAAATCTGTGGATAACTGTGGTGCATGCCATCAGTATGCACTGATCGGTAGGCTACTGTAGGCCTGACCCTACCTGTAGGTTACGTACCAGATTACTACTACTGCTGTCGCTAGGGCAGAGCGCTACTAGCTACAGTACTACTAGACTAGCCTATATAAATAGTATAGTAAGCTATATAGGCCTGTCTACAGTACACCAGGGCAGAGGAGTACACTAAAATTACACATCTAATATTTTGAAAACACTCCACAACACTCCAATTCAATAATTTTATTGATCAAAACAAACAATATGTGCATATATTAAATATATAACGATTTATGTAAATACAGCATGTTTTGTTAGTAGTAAAAGAAGTAGTGGTAGGCCAAGTAGTAGGCCTATCTGATTTTTTTCCAACTTACCTAAACTCGAAAGAATCAGCAAAAGCAAGTCACAGGCGACAATGTTTTGAAACATTTTGTTTGGTGCAGTGTGGCAAGCCAGGCCTAAAGACTTAAAACATCCACAAGTTTTCCGTAGAATTCAATAAATCCTTGCTTACAAACACATGTTTGCTCCCAGAATCTGTAGTACAATTTCCAAATCTTGAGTAATAATATAGCCTAAGATAATAGCAACCTCAAGACCAAGCCAACTTTTGGACAACGAATACCTTGGACAACAACCCCAGCCTTCTCCGCACACTACTACAACCTTCTCGCTCCAATCTTGTTTTCAATGTAAACTTATACCAGCAGTGCACACACAGCACACTGAGTACAGAGAGCGAAGTTCGGTGTGTATACTTATTCGTCCGCCTTCACACAAAATAGTTCACATTTATAGATTACCGGTTCACAGCGGTTCAATGGCTAGTAAAACAAATGAATAAATAATTTAAAGAGCGAAATATCAAAATTTAAAAATTCTAAGCAATAAACTGTAATGAGGGAGTTTTTATATGTTTCATATTATTCCGCTGATAATTAGTCGGTTCTGCTCTGGCTCTACTACGGATATCAGTAACAATAACGAACCGCGGCCGTTTAGAGAGCAATGAATAAAACATTTCACGCCGTTAATAGGATCAGCCTTTGAAAAACACCGAAGCCGACTGGTTTTATGGGTCTTACGTAGTCTTTTGATATTGTCTAAGTAAATATCACATTCAACCGAAAGCTCTAATCACATTTTGCCGAATGACGTTGCCGATAATAATCTCTAAATATGAAACAAGATTTCCATCATAATGTTGAAAAAAAAAAAGAAATTCGACATAATAATGCTTTCAATTCCCTGTTTAAAGCAAATCGTTTAAAGTCTGTACATTAACAGCAAAAAGCACTATGTTGTTGCAGGATAATTAAAATTAAGGAGGAAATACGAAATAAGGGAAAATTACGATGTTTTATTTGTATAAATAGGTCACATATCCTATATCTAAGGCAAGAAGATGACACGGACTGCTTAGCACTAGCAAAGCCGAAACCCGAACGTTTGCTGTCAAGTAGGTCGACAAGTTGTCAGAGTGAAGTGCCCCAAAACCCTCTCTTCAGACCAGCATTTAGGTCCAGTATGTATAAAACGAATTTAATAAAATAAATTTATTTTGTTTTTGTAAATATAAATAAAATTTCTCTTGCCTTGAATTGTGCTAGGCTAACGGTACTTGTTGAATATGAGACACAGATTTTTGAATATTTAAAAACTGGGGGAAATGGTGTAAAAGAGAGCGGTTACGCCCCTTTCCCCCCAGTTTAAAAATATTCAAAAATCTGTATCTCATTTACCTTTCGCTAGTTTTTTGTCTTAGAAAAAACAGTTCTACAACACAATTTTTCCTCTGCCGCGGAGCCTGACTTTAAGCGCATGACAAACATTTCACCAAATCTGCCATTAAATTCCCCATTTTGTCGTCTTTTCTTTTCTGTTTTTCATGTTCTCCCTTATTCCCTGGTTGTCTTCCCTGCTTTTCTTGTTGCAGACATAGTACTTACTTATGGTGCTCTATCTTTTTGGCATCATCTGGCATCCAGTTTCTCAAAAGATGTCGGTTTTGTGGTTTTTTTTCACAGATAGGCCTATGTCTATGATTTTTATCTGTTTCTTTGTTGCCATTTGTTATCGTTAGCAAGAAAATGTTAATGTGAGTTTAATTAACACGTTAAAACAAACATTATTATTATTATTATTATTAGGCCTATTATTATTATTAGGCCTATTATTATTATTATTATTATTATTATTATTATTATTATTATTATTATTATAATTAGGCCTATTATGAGGCCTATTATTAATATGCTTTCTATTGCGACATAAAAAGTTACAAAACTCTAAACTGTAGAGGGCGCTAAATCTAATTCTTTGCTCGACAGCGGGCTTAAGGCTTCACTAATGGATGTACTGTAGCGGGATTTATACAGTAGTGCTTTCTGTCTCTTATCCCGCGTTCCCTTATAGTTAAATAGGTATTTAATCGGTTTCTTCACTATCAATTTTAAATGGTTTGTAAAAAAATATTTGTTTGGATGTTTGCTTAAGTGCTGTTTTTCATTTATTTATTTATTTTTTTAAGTAAAGAAATTTTAACACAAAATTTATTGACAAAAAGGATCGACGTTTCGTGTCCATCATGGACGCATTCTCAAGATCAAGTGAACAAAAATAAATATAAGATAGTAAACCAAGTGTAGGTGACATGAAAGGGATTAACAGTCACATGATTAAAAACTAATACAATAGCACAGTATCATGGAGCTGAAAAGAGATTATCTCTGCTAGAGTAATTAGTTAAAATTAGATAAACAACTTTGCTCTGACAGAGTCTGACTGTTTGTTAAGTGAAGGTAAAGAAATTTTATAATACATATCTTTTTGGAGCCCCTCCTGTTGTTCAAATGCTTACTGATTATCCTTCTCATTGTGTTGCATCGACAACTAGTGCTGTTATAGTCCACATGCAAAAATGAGTGGAAGATGAGTTGCGGAAATACGTTGTTCGTTAGGGAAAATACAAGTTCGTTTGTAAAATTACGTTGTTTGTAATGTTCGTTGTTCGATTCACTTTTGTATTTTTGGCGGCGATTACAGTCTATAATCCTGGTTAGATGCTTAGATCACTTTTTTTGGTCTATGTAATATGTCATACAGAAAATTGTTTTTCACTGGTATTACAAATAGGCCTAAGCCCTATATACAAACATTATTACATTGGCCAAACTGGTTCGTTTCTGTGACAATGAAATTTCGTTGAGTAGGCCTATTAGGTCTATTTTCATTCAGCTGGTTCGTAAATACTTCGTTGACAACGGAAATGAAAGTAAACCAGAGTGCGTTAATTTGCAATAAGTTATCCACGTAACCAAAGCAAACATGGCCGATTTGTCAGTCTAGCAACAACATTTGCGTTAATATAATTTAAATTCAGAAAAAAAATTATTATTATATTTACATTGGCTGATATGAGGGAGAGTCAGGGGGACTTGACCCCCCCCCCCCCCCCCCGCCAAAAAAAATTACTATCCTGAACCCTCCTTCCTTTTTAGGATTTATCGATTAATGGAAAAAGAACACATAGGCCTATGCAACTACTCATTTTTTTTTCTATGTATGCCGGTACATAATAGGCCTGTAGTTTTACTGTAAGAAGAATGAGAGAAATTTACCTGACAGTCTACAAAAGGGGAAAACCTTGAACTTAAAAGTCATTAAATGATACTTCAGAAGTCGGGAAAATTCATTTCTCGCCATCTAGGAATCAAAATTTTCCCGGTGGAGGACTCCCGATCAAAGGAGTTTTCTTTGTTTTTGTAGGTAGCTTTGATCAATAGGCTAAGAATGCTTTGATCTTTAGTTTATTCATACTTGTGGTAATGTTTTTAATTGGTCAAACACTTTTGGTACTTGTGCATATAAGCTTGCAAATATGGATAATTTTTCATTCCTGATGATGAGATAATTAATTTCGAAATATTGAATTCCCGACACGATGGCATGCATCTCGATACTTAGAGTATGTATTATACTGTCTTTTCGACTCCCGATCCCCTGTTCTATTTGGGTTTATCGAATTCATGGAAAAAAGAATATGGAAACATTCAAATTTGAAGAATTTAAAAGTCATTAAATAACACACCAGAAGACGGGAAAATCATTCCCGCCGTCTAGGGTTCAACATTTTCCCGAGAGAGGACCCCCCGGATCCCTCTTCCTTTTTGGGGCTTATCGATTCATGGAAAAAGAACACGTATGCAACTACTCAATTATTTTATGTACGTATACACATATAAATAGGCCTAGGCCTATTAACTGTAATAAGAATGAGAAAGTTTACCTGACCGTTTAAAGAGGGAAAACCTTGGACTTAAACGGTCATTAAGAGACATCTCAGAAGTCGGGAAAGCTCATTATCCGCCATCTAGCAATCAAAATTTTCCCGGACCTCCCTTTCATTTTGGGGTTTTTATGAAATTCTGTGAATCCCCCTAAATGTGAACCTTCCTCCCCTGTTTTTAACGAAAACCATACAAGCTGAAGCAACCTTGATTGCGCTATAATAATAATAATAATAATAATAATAATAATAATAATAATAATAATAATAATAATAATTATTATTATTATTATTATTATTATTATTATTATTATTATTATTATTATTATTATTATTATTTATTATTATTATTATTATTATTATTTATTATTATTATTATTAGGCATATTATATTATTATAAGGCCTATTATTATTATTATTATTATTATTATTATTAATAGGCATATTATATTATTATAATGCTTATTATTATTAGCATTATTATTATTATTATTATTAACACGATATTCAAACTTAAAACAATGATTATTATTATTATTAATAGGCATATTATATTATTATAAGGCCTATTATTATTAGCATTATTATTATTATTATTATTAATAGGCATATTATATTATTATAATGGCCTATTATTATTAGCATTATTATTATTATTATTATTATTATTATTATTATTATTATTATTATTGTTATTATTATTATTATTAACAACACGATATTCAAACTTAAAACAGTGATTAATTTAGTCTTTTTGCAAGTACACGACTTTAACTTTCACTTTTGTATTAGTAATATTGCGACTACACTATTGTGAGTGGAAATAATATCAGTCTATAGTCAAATAAAGTGAAATCACTTCGACCTGACAAAATAACGTAAAATTATCAGCCATACATATTGACAAATGAAAAGAGCTCCAAAAAATACGAAATGGTTCTTCTTGCAACATTATCGTTCAAGAGCGTGAATAGCCTAGCAAAAGTGTTTCACGCTGACATTAGCTGTTTTTAGGTCATTTTTTGTCTTTCCACAGTCGTATCTGGCAAATACTTGTCGGATTTTTGTATTCCCTTCTGCATTTGAAGGCAATTCTTTTCTGATTGCTTTTAGTATTTGTTTCAATTGTATTGCTTGAAAAATGTCACCGTCATTTTTCACTTTTTTTATTGGTGCTATGCTGACCGCCCACAGCGCGTAGAGGCGGCATTTTGACCTATTTTTAGTGACTTCGTTTAAATTGCCATTTCGGCTGTTCACCAATCAAATATCTTGTTGTTCATGAATTCAAGAATATGAATTCCCATTGGATGAAAACAAAATCACCATCAAAACACTAATTTCAATATGAATGAACAATCCTGTCTCTAGGCATTATGCCCGCAAAAATGCGAAGCTTTGGTATAGCTTCCGCCATTGTCAAAGGTCTGGAAGCCCTGGCCTTAACATCAACAACAAAAATTGGCTCGTGTGGGAATCGAAAACACAACCTCCAGGTTTGCTATTCATTATCCACGATCACCTAAACTGCCTTAAAAATAAAAAATAAAAATTGGGTTCGTGTGGGAATTGAACACACAACACTAGGTTTGCTATTTATTATCCACCATCAAATAAACTGCCTTAAAAAATGGTTCGTGTGTGAATCGAACACACAACCATGAGGTTTTGTTATTCATTATCCACCATCAACTAAACTGCCTTAAGAAAAATTAAAAAAATTTAAAAAAAAACTTGGTTCGTGTGGGAATCGAAAACACAACCCCCAGGTTTGCTATTCATTATCCACCATCACCTAAACTGCCTTAAAAAAATTGAACACACAACCACCAGGTTTTCAAATAAACTGTATAAGCTTCCGCCATTGTCAAAGGTCTGGAAGCCCTGGCTTTAACAACAACAACAACAAAAATTGGTTCGTGTGGGAATCGAAAACACAACCTCCAGGTTTGCTATTCATTATCCACGATCACCTAAACTGCCTTTAAAAAAAAAAAAAACGGCCTTTAAAAAAAAAAAAAAAAAAAAAAAAAAATTGGGTTCGTGTAGGAATTGAACACACAACACCAGTTTTGCTATTCATTATCCACCATCAAATAAACTGCCTTAAAAAATGGTTCGTGTGTGAATGGAACACACAACCATGAGGTTTTGTTATTCATTATCCACCATCAACTAAACTGCCTTAAGAAAAATTTTAAAAAAACTTGGTTCGTGTGGGAATCGAAAACACAACCCCCAGGTTTGCTATTCATTATCCAGCATCACCTAAACTGCCTTAAAAAAAATTGAACACACAACCACCAGGTTTACTATTCATTATCCACCATAAAAAAAAACTGTATTAAAAAAAAAAAAAACAAATTGGTTCGTGCGGGAATCGAACACACAACCTCCAGGTTTGCTATTAATTATCCACCATCAACTAAACTGCATAAAAAAATGGTTCGTGTGGGAATCGAACACACAACCACCAGATTTTTGCTATTCATTATCCACCATCAACTAAACTGCCTTAAAAAAAAAAATAGGAAAAAAAATGGTTTGTGTGAGAATCGAACACACAACCTCCATGCTATTCAATTATCCACCATCAACTTAACTGCCTTAAAAAAAAAATTTAAAAAAAATTGGTTTGTGTGAGAATCGAACACACAACCTCCATGCTATTCCTTATCCACCATCAAATTAACTGCCTTAAAAAAAAAAAATGGTTTGTGTGGGAATTGAACACACAACCACCGGGTTTCTTGTAACATGATTCTATTTTAATTTCTAATTTGCATAATAAATTTTTCAAACATTTTTGTCTATTTAAAAAAAAGTGCGTAAGTTATGGAGATGGTAACAATCAAAAATCGATTATAAATTTAAATCTACATTTTTAGACAAAAAATAAACCCTCTTGGCCCACGGCCCTTTTTTTGACACCATGACCATGCGTAATATTAACCTGCAATGTATATATACGAAGAATTTTTTCTAGTTTTCATTTTTTTTTTTAAATTTTTTGAAAATTAAAAAACAATTTTTTTTTTTAAGGCAGTTTAGTTGATGGTGGATAATGAATAGCAAACAAGGAGGTTGTGTGTTCGATTCCCACACGAACCATTTTTTTCCCCTTTAGGCAGTTTAGTTGATGGTGGATAATGAATGTATTATACTCGTTGATGACGTCGCGATATAACAACAAACAACAACGTGTCATGGCCGTCATGGAAGCTCACTGGTTCCTGTGTAATTCACGTTGAGCCAACTGCAGACGAAAAGGTTACAATCTTTTCAGAGATAAGCTGGAAGAAAGTTTTAGACAGTGCCCATCAATAGAAGGATTTTAATACTGAGGAATGGAAGTTAGCGAAGTTCTTGGCTTGCTTAACCGTTTTTCTTCGATCGTCGCTTCCAGTCGTCTAGGCGCGTCTAGCCTAAAGAGGGCCTACATAGCAGGTCGAGATCCATGAAAAGTCGTATATAAAGATGTGGGTTACCCACATTGTTTATTGAGCAGATTAATCACATTGATAAACAATCATTCGGCTGATGCATATGAACTTCTATTTAGAGACATAATTTCATTATTTTCTTTCCAAAAATCTTAATAAACGTTAACTAGCACCTCATATCGACATTTGCATGGTGAAAATTGACGATCTTTGGTGTATGCTGTAACCATGGCTGTAATTTGTGATTGTTACAGCATGCACGCAAAGATCGTACGTGGCGGATACCCTACGCGGCGCTATTTACACGACCTTTTTTTATTTTTTCGCCAATGACGTCATGGTGAAATCGTATATATTCGCCTATAACTTGATTTAAAGGTTGATTCTATTATTAATGGCATATCAAAAATCCACTGTAGAACAAAAAATCATTTTGTTAGTTCTCTTTTAAGCCTATTTTTCACAATTGGCGAATTTATTCGCGCGAATGGAAAGCGGAGGCTCATGCACATGCGCATTCAGTTTTTGCTAGCGAAAAAATGCGCAACCAATCAGAACTCAGGAAGCGAACCGACGCTTTGATTCGCGGGAATGAATTTGCCAAGTGGAAAACAGGCTTAAAAGACCACAATTTCACGCATAAATGTATTGCTTAGGCCTAGGCCTATATTAAAATATATATAAAATAAATGTCACTCCAAAAATTGGCAAGGCCATTTTAGTCTACGTTTCGCTTTTAATCATCGTCAATGGAATAATTTATATAAAGCAATTGCCTTATTTAAATAAAATGCATATTAATTCGAATTTCTGGTAACTCATACATGATTTATCACTTTGTAGGCCCTATTATATTATTCAGAATTATTATATCAGAATTAGCAATTCGTTTAAGGTTGGTGTAAGTAAATACAATATGGTTGGTAATTACAATATGGTTGGTACGTAATAGTAGAGTAGGGGGTGTTATATTCTCACGCTCATATCAATATTCATTAGGACAGTGATGCTTAACGTTGCAAATGACGCTTCATATGGCTACGGCAAAATGAAGGGTGACGAGATTGCAAGGAATAGAAACAGGTGCACAGTTCAGAAAATCATCACAAAGTGTGTAATTTGCTCTCCTAAAAAGAGGGGTTTCCCTTTAAATTGAACCATGTATGATTATTAAAATAAGCTATAATATTTTACATTTTATTTGCGACCCAGAATATACAAATAATATGTGCGGTCCTAAAAATGAATCTCTTAGTTGGGAATTTAGAGATTAGATTTTCTATAGATTAATATGATTTACTTTTTATTTGGTATACAAAAAATATATATAAATATTCGTATTTAATTACCATAATCCTTTAAATCGATTAATTAAAAAGATACTTGTAAAGATTCATATACAAATCTCTTAGTTGGAAATTCAGAGAAATCAGCATTTCTATAGATTCATATAATTTACTTTCTATTTGGTATGCAAAATATACAAAAATATTATTGAATTAACATAAAACCTTTAAATCGAATAATTAAAAAATTACACTTGTAAAGATTCATATACAAATCTCTTATACTCTGAGTTGGATATTCAGAGAAATCAGCATTTCTATAGATTCATATAATTTACTTTCTAATTTGTATACAAAATATACAAAACTATTCAAATTGAATTAACATAAAGCTTTTAAATCGATAATAATTGAAAATTACACTTGTAAAAAATTTAAGATTCATATACAAATTTCTTATATTCTTATTAGTTGGAAATTCACAAAAATCAGCATTTCTAATTTACATTTTATTGGTATAAAAATATCCATATTGGATTAATATAAAGCTTTTAAATCTATTAATTAAAAATTACACTTGTAAAGATTTATATAATTTAAATTTTATTCGGTATCCGCAATATACAAATATTCAGATCGTTGAATCAATATTATTTATGAATTGGCGTTTCTAAAGTTTAAAACCAATCAAATTATGCAGTATATTACGCGGAGTTGATAAAACATTGCCTCAGAGTGTAGGGGGTTATCATTGAAGTAGCCACGCACTTAAAGCATGGATCAACAATTGAGAGCCTTGAACACGCATATACCAACAACACCTAGATCATTCGTTACTCTACTTTGCCTCTGTGCAGTTATGTTTATTAGTACTATCACTATGCTTGATAAGCGTAAGTATGCTTTTTGACTTTTTGTATTATCCAATTGATGCATTTAAATTTTTTTCAATGTAAATTTCTCAATTTCTACATTAATGTATATATTAATCTTATATCTTAATAATTACCTAATTGTATATAAAAAAATGTATACTTTTTAAAATTTTACCTACTTTACTTTCATAAATTATTGAGATGTATATTTTATTTTTATTTTATTAATTATTGCTTTCAAATTGCAATAAAGACTACCGTATTTTGAATTGAATTGTAGGGGTGACGAGTATCAGTTGTTTTAAATCGCGGTACTAATTATTATTTTCCGACTAAAATCTCTCAACAATCTTCACAATATAAGTTAATGAAGACAATGGAATTAATGGTCAATTTGCCTACTAATACTGTATATTCAACTTTGTGTTAGTTATGGCAGTTTTATAAGACAGGACCATTTTAAAAACGTCATCAGTAATCTGCCAAAGGCAGGTCTTGTTTTATAGGCAATTATCATATGTTGCTTCACGATCTTGTGCTAGTCTTCTCAAGGTGTCATATCTACCATTTTTTTTAGATCAGCCAGATTTGCTTTCTCCTGCTTTCTTCTTCTTCCCCTACCTCTTTCCTCTTCACATCTTCCTTCCAAAATCCATTTCATCAGTCCTTCTCCTTTTAGTATGTGACCTATCCAGTTCTTTTCTCGTTTCATTATAATGTGCAATCAAGTTTCTTTGTTCTCATATTCTCTGTAATATTTCAATATACGATATTCTTTTTATCCAGAAAATATTCAACATTCTCTTCCATACCCACATCTCAAAAGCTTCCAGTCTTTTTACATCTTCCTTCCGCAATGTCCATGTTTCAGAGGCCATGTTTATTAGGTTTTTCCTCACATACATAACACTTAATAAAATTACTCATTATTTTTTAATTAGGCAATATATGATATACGACATATGCAAAAAATATGACAACATAATATGATATAACATGGTAATTTAAAATATTACAGAATAAAAGGTGTCGTAATAATACATGAAGAAAACATGTATAAAAATTTAATATGAAAGTTGCCTAATAATAATATGATGAACACAAAAAATTGTATAAATTACATTAGATATGATTATGCAAGTGTGGGTGGAGTTTAATATAAGTTCGCAGAGTAGTAGTAGTAGTAGTAATAATAATAATAATAATAATAATAATAATAATAATAATAATAATAATAATAATAATAATAATAATAATAATAATAATAATAATAAACTGTCTAAGCAAGCACAGGAAACCAGAATAAACGGGATGTGAAAGAGTTTTAGAATTTTATAAAAATGTTAATCCACCAGAGAGAATACAAAAAAAAAGTCACCGACATGCGCTGAGAGTAAACACTTCTTACAATTATGTTTAAAACAGGAAATGTTTGATGTGTTTTCAAGTGCCGATTGTAGACTGCTCCAAAGTTTAGGACCAAGGAAAAAGACAGAAACGTCTGAGTCGATCCATGGAATTAGAGTGGTCAGTTAAAAAATTATTACTTAAAAATTTGGTATTGAAGATATAAAAATCGAATATTTTTGGGAATAAAGTACCTAAATGATAAAGTATAACATTGTTGGATAATTTGTACATGGAAAAAGCATTGTGTAATTTGTTTAAATCACATATATTGAGGACATTCAATTAATTTTAAAAAAAATCTTTAGTGTGTGACTTACCAGATCCGGAGAGTACGTTTTTTAATTTGAAAAGGCAGTGAATATGAGATATCTCCGAACTAGTCAATGGGCAAAAATATTGAAATTTATCTAAAGTAACAGCCCAGGCTATGTTAACATAAGAAAGATATGGTAAAACTAATGTATTATATATAACGAAATATGTATATTGGTTGGAAGTGAATTTTTAGAGTTTATTCATTAGTGATGTGATTTGGATACTCTAGTAATGTGAGCCTTCCACGTTAAATGAGAATCAATTGTAGCTCCAAAAAAATTTGTTCCCTCAACTCAATTATTTCGAAGTTATCTATGTATATTGTATGTATTGGAAAGCGAGCATTTAATTTTATAATTATGTTTAGAGAAAAATATGAAATTTGTCCTTTTGATATTAAAAGATAATTTATTGAGCTTAAAGCAATTTGATAACTCAATTAATTCGGCATTAACCAGTTCCAATATTTTTTTTTATTTTCGTGAGAGGAAAGAAAGAATAAATTGGTATCATCAGCAAAAGAATAAATTGAAGTAATTTAAAACAATTTGGCAAGTCATTAACATAGATAACAAATAAAAGCGGACATAAAATCCAGCCTTGGGGCACTTCACATGTAAGTTTAACAAGGTAGAGCTTTTTGAGTTAAATAAAGTGAACTGGTGACGATTGGTAAGATAGCTAATAGAAAGCTGAATGGGAAAGGCTGCGATAATAAGACACCAATTGCAACATCATTGTTGTTAAGTGCACTGCTGTTTTATCAAACATATCAAGAAGGGCCAAATCAGTGGAATGAAGTTTTATGAATCAATATCGACCTATAAATAAAGCATTATGTTTATTGAGAAATTTAAGCAATCTATTATAAATGGATTGGATTGGATTTATTCGGTGTAAACACCAAGGATAGCCCACGAAACTCTAGAAGAAAACTTATTTCCAGTGGGGTCCTTCTAGTGGTGATTATGCAGTACACCGGGAGACAATCCCCTACTCTTTTCCGAAGAGTGTACTGCGTTCTTTAACGTGCACATGGGCCATAAATGCACACGGGACCAACGGCTTAAACGTCTCATCCGAAAGGCGGTGCGCTATTGTAACTTGTGTTGGGCCGATTACCTATCAGCAAAGAAATGCAGATGAGCTATGGATCGGATGAGAAGTGGGATTTCGAAGTGACACAAGAACACCTAATATAGAAAAAGGGTCTCACACACAGGGGTGGCGCCAGAGGGGGCTGGGGGCTATAGCCCCCCGTCGGGGAAGCCGATAAATTTTGTCGCCCCCCCCCCCCCGTCGGGGAAGACGATAAATTTTGTCGGGGAACAAACAAGTAAAAAAAATATTTACATGTAATATTCGTTTAGCCACCATATCGTTTGTGTTTTTTTCTTTCTCTTATACACATCTAGATGTGTATAAGAGACAGGCATACCATTGAATCACCACAGGGAAAAATTGATCTGGAAGAAAAACAAATCAACAAATTTATCTTACAAACAGTGTGTCGATGGAATGAAAATAATTATACTGTTTAAAATAAAAGCCTTAATTAATTTTGTTAATGGAAAATAACTGTGAATACAAGAAAAATAATGCAAATATTTAAAATGATCTTTTGAAAAATTTAATTAACTGGTAATAATGATTGATTTTAATGAAATATGGTAAACAAAAATGTTAACCAAGCACATTTACATTCTATTTTAAAGCTCTTTAGTACAAAAAAACTCCCCAAATATCTTTGCTGTAGTAATATACATAGGAATAACAACGATAAAAGAATACTATCAATAGTAATAATAACAATAAAGGAAATAATAATTTTGTATGTGGTGCACAAGATTCATAATATGTCACTGATTGAAAAAAAAAAAACAAACTGTACCCTAAGTTGGCTGTTTTCAGATTGCGATCAAAGCATTCGTCTCTTGATAGTATACGATGCGAGAAATACTTTTGATGTGGGTCCAGGAATGAAGCAATTGTATGAGCATACAACCTCGCTCCCATCGTGAATATATGTAGCTCATAATATTTAGAAATCTCCTCAAGAAACTTTTGACAGCCAGGCCGAATGCGAGTATGGTACCAAGGCGACTGCGGCCCGGAGTTCCAGAGTTGAAAATGATGTACATTCTGAAAAACAGTTTACAATATTTATAATCTAGTGAAAATATATATTGATGGGAAACAATTTAAACTAGGACTATTATCAAAAATATTCTAAGTAGACTTTTGCATAAAACTAACTATTATTATATATTATTCATCAAATTGTATAAGTGTAAACATCTTGCACAGGAGAAATAATAGCCAGAGATGATGTTGATTTCAATGCTATATTTATTCGGATAGGAACTAGGATCTAGGAATTATGAGAACATAAGACAAACAAAGCATAACTGGAAAAACCCCCAACTTGACCGGGCACTATGCCAGCATACGTCAAGCTTTCATTAGCTTCACGCTAAGATGTAACTTTCATGAGTCTTCAACAGTACTGTACGAGATTTACTGTAATGCCTTGCCTTGCATAAGCTAGACAAACACTTTACTTTCTTGATAACTAATTTTGCACGTCTTGACTCTGTGGCTTCTGACTTTGTTGTGCCACAAACTTTCTTAATTGGACGCGCTAATACTATTTACAATAACCCACGGAATGAGCCTCCGCACAATAGCAATCTTTTACACTCTTATTGTAATAGTATAAAGTTAATTCTTTAAACAAGTTATTTGTTGGAATAAATATAACTGTCATGGATTTCTATCAAAAATACATTTATATAATAAAAACTAGAATTAATAATGTGAACTCCTTATTCTTGCGGAGCAACACAGGGCTACTCACTCACTTAAGAAAAGCGTCTACGGAAGTTGTTACGTAACATGATCAAGATAAACATGGTATTAATTATCAAGAAGTCAATGTGAATGTGGTGAACAAAGAAACCCAAGTTAAACAAAGAAACAACTGAAATCCAAAATTAAGTCATAAGGAAATGAATAAAAAATTAAACATGTAATATAATGTACAGTATAAGGATACGGGTAAAACCCGTACCTTACATAAGTATAACCATTTTGTATGTGAAATAAATGACATATTATTAATTTATTATTTCATTATTTTAATATTTTATTATATACTATCTACTATTTACTATTTTTTTCTATTTATTATTTATTATTGTAATCTTTATATAACTAAATATTTTATAGGCAAATTGGAAACAAAATCAAACGGAACTGATGGGTTATCGTTTAAAAAGACATCGCTTCCTACATATCAAGACAAAAAGCTTCAATTGGTGCAGTCTTCCATACAATATCCTTGGAAAACACTACATCCACATGTTGGTACCATGGAAACTATCGACGCTACTAAAACCGTATTTTATCTCAAATCTAGAAAAATCCAAGTCGGTGATTTCTTTAGTGTGATAATACAAACAAAGGACAAAAACAATCGAAGCCGTGTACAAGGAGGAGATTTCTGGTTTCCAAGAATAGAAAGTGATAATCTGAATGCTAGTAGTCACGGAAAAGTAGTAGACTTTGATAACGGTACATATGAAATCATATATTTTGCAGCCTGGGAAGGAAAAACAACAATTGATTTAACGTTAGTCGCGCCAGCCGAAGCAATAAAGAATCAAAAAAATTTGGTTTGGCCGATAGACCACAGGATCCAATGGATTGGATATTTTTCAGACGGTAAGACAAACGAAACAGCAGACTGTGGAATATATGATAGACAAACGTGGAAAGATATGTGCGAATACCCAGAACCAAATGCGCTTGGTGGCGCCATATTTCTATGTTCCCGGCCGAAGACACTTCCTTGTGATACTCTAGTTAGCATGAATGATTCGAGGACCAATTGGAACGATGCGTATCTTAAATCGGAGAAGGGACAAAAGTTATGGCAGTTATGGAGGTATGATCAGCATATTTTCTTTAAATTAATTTGTAGAAATTCAGGTTCAGTGTTTCTAAAACAAGAAACAGATCCAGAATTTTAAAATCGGGTTTTTATGACGGAGCTGCAATTTCAAAATATAGTTTTGACTGTTTCATTTTGAATGGGCATTTGTTTGCGTAAGGCCTATCCACTCGAGTCAGTCAATCAGTACTATGTAGGCCTACAGTTCTCCCTCCAATTCGAGACCACCTCTGATACCAGAAGATGCTGGGTGATCTCTTGGTTCGGTAATTAGACGGTTAGCTGTGTGTCAAATGTGAGAACATTGTTGGAATGGTCTCGAATTGAAAGGGTCTCGTAATTAGAACAGTCTTGAACTGGAGGGCGAACTGTGTAATAAAGGGGTGATAGGCCTTTGTAGAACTAAAGCTCTTTTTTTTCGCCATAGAAATTTATTTTATGTGCAGCTTCTAAATGGACCACGGACTGTGAACATCGAGCCTTTCGAAGGTAAAGTATATCACACGCAGAAAATTATACAACGTAACAATAATCATTGGCGGATTTGGAGGTGGGGGAGGGGGAGTAAAAAAATAAATTATTCATCGCTCTAAACGCCTCAGATGTTATTTCCGTGTGTCTAGGTAAATGAAGACATTCTACCTAATTGAAATTTGTAGAAAAAATTGTTCGTACTAATGTTTTTAAATACTCCCCTTTTATTCATTTTAGTAGGCTCCTTAATCCTCTCCCAGACAATGTCAGATGCTCATTATTATTTTTCAATTAATCATTTTATATCGTTTGCCATGAACATCTTGATAATTATGTTGACGTCTTGTAATTAATTATATTAATTATATTATATTAATAATAATTAATAATTAATAATAATATAATTAATAATATAATAATTAATTAATATAATTAATAATATAATTAATAATATAATTAATAATAATTAATTATATTAATTATATTAATTATATTATATTATATTAATTGTATGTTCATATTTGCTGCTCTTATTGTTTATAATGTCATCTTGTATTTTTATTTATTTTCATTTATTTATTCTTATTTCATTCATTATTCTATTTATTTATTTATTTAATTAATAATTTACAATTTTTGCTTGGCTCTTTTGTATGTGAAGGAGTTACTGCATATTATTAATGATTGATTTCCAGTTATGATTTTAATTTGTAATGTTACTGTCAGGAGAGCCACTTGATAGTTTTTTTGAATTGAATTGGAGATGGTCCGCAATTTTTAGCTAATGGAATATTTTTCAGTACTATTTCAAAAATCAGTTACTGGGCCGTGTTTAATATAAACTTCACTTTTGTGTAGATTGATAAATTTGCCAATGTTTGGAATTTTAGCTATATCAATCTGCACAAAAGTTAAAACCTGCATTTCAGGGCATAACGGACCAAATGGTGACAAGAAGACCGATTTCGAGATTTTCTCAGTAGATAAATTAAATCTTCCAAAATGTGAACCTGACCAACAGCGAATGCTAAGTGATGGATATTGGATGCAATCCACGTGGATTTCGTTTCAATGTGATACAAAACAATGGAGCCGTTCGGATATTGAATCGTGTCTGCGAGGTAAACACGTCCTGCTTATGGGGGACTCAACTACGCGTCAGTGGTACGCGGGTATAACGGAAATACTGGAATTTGAGCAAAAATGGTCAGAAAAAGCACATAGCATTATACGCCACTACGACCACTTACAACTCAATATGACATTCAGATTTCACCCTTATGGAATGTTATCCCGTATCTTTTCAGTTTTAGATGTAGAATTTGAAGCCAATTTACTCGACAAACTTTCAGAAGAAAGATGCAATTATTTTATTGTGATTAGCCCATGGGCTCATTATGAGAAATGGACAAAAGATGCTTATGTCATTCGTCTGAAATTTATTGCCAAGGCAGTAATGAGGCTCATAAAAAGATGTCCTAACTCAAAGATTGCCGTCAAAAGCCCACATCCACGCGAAAAATCGGATTTTCTAGTGAACGTCGATTATTTTTTAAATGAAATTAGAAAACTTATGAGGGCGGTATTTACTGGCATTGGCGTCCATTTTATTGATATATGGGATATGAACAATGCATATATAATGCCGAACGAAATTCACATGCCGATGCCCGTAATCTATCAGGAACTTTATATGTTTTTCTCTCATGTATGTTGACGATTTAAAGTTAATTATATAAATATATCACTTTTTCCATTAGAGTGTCACTATAGACCTACTTTACAAATTATATTACATCTAATTACATTCGAGAACCCAGTGTTCCAGATATAAGGATCTGCTTAAACAGTAAGAAATACATCTTTGAATACTTTCATGAGGATTTTTTTTTGTCGTCAATAATAATATTCCTAGAATGGTTGGCTCAACACAGGACGCCAACTACAGGTTTTGCATCATATTTAAATTTATTCTATTAGGCCTAATAGCTTGAAATATGCATATAAGGCAGGCAATGATAATGTTGATGATGATGTTGTTTTTGTTAATGATGATGATAATAGTAAAACAAAATAATAATAATAAAATAGATCCTACAGTATACTATTGACAACATTGTATTATTGTATTAAGTTGTGCTGCCTTACTTAACTTTGTGTCGTAGTTGGCGGTGTCATTGCTGGCGGTGGCGGTTACAGTGGTGGCAATACATTTGGTGGTGGTGGTGTAATGAATGGTCTATGTTACCATCAAAGCTTGCATACAATGCAACATTCCAAAGGACGTATAAGCTCTTACCGTATGGAAAGCAAAAAATAGAAAATAAAGTCTAAGTTAGGTAAAGACAATGTTAAGTCTGGTCCCTGTAAATGGTATTTACTTTGATAACGTATAGGCTATATATTTTTGTAGCTCTTTAATAAACATTCTTCATCTACAGTACTTCAAATAGGATTGGTTTTTAAAATATGTCCGACAACTCGGCCCAGCAGACAATTCAGACCAACTTATATCTTGGACCAAAATTTATCCCTGACCAACCCATTATTTATACAGTTTGTCATCTGTTACCATCTAAATATATCCCATGTGCACCTCGCATGTTTATATACAAAAACTCCCCCCACTAATATAGGCCCTATTTTCGATCAGATCAAACATGCACTAACTCTGCGAATATGTGGTTTATAAAGCGCTATCTGATGCGATTTAAGAACACCTACATACAGTGTCAGTTGCACGCGAGAAGTTTAGTGTGATAGGTTCGTGTTGACGACTTGAAATATTGTTTTAATCATTCTTTATTGATATTCATATAAAATATGCAAAAGAAAACATTCACAAAGACCAGGTGCAGCCTAAATTAACAGACTTACGCAGGCAAAATGTGAATTTTCATGAAAATAAATTCAGATTATGAAGAATATTAGTTGTACAAATGTTATCCTAAAGAGTAGCACAGAATGCAGCAATGGGGAGGGGGTGTCATTTTCATTAGAGGGAGACCTGTATATTGAATCAAAAGTGCGGTCGTGAAAATAATTCTCTTTGTTTGGAATTCAGAGAGCTCAGCATATCTATAGATTAATATAATTTACTTTCAAATATTAGTATATAGATTATATAAAAATATTCATATTGTATTAGCATAAAGCTTTTAAATCTATTAATTAAAAATTACACTTGTAAAGTTCATATATAATTTGGCATTTATTTGGTATCCACAATATACAAATATGCAGATTGTTGAATCAGGCTTATTTATTGGCTTTTCTAAAGGTTAACACAGTTTAAATTATGCAGTATTACGCGGAGTTGATACTGAAAATACAACATTGCTTCACACATTGTGGGTTATTATTGAGGTATAACTACGTACTTAAGAATGGAGTTACAATTGTTGGGAGCCTTAAACAAACATATACCAGCAACACGTAGCGGTAAAGTATTCGGTACTCTACTTTGCCTCTGTGCTGTTATGTTGATTAGTGCTATTACTATGCTTGGTAAGATTCTTATTAAACATTTTTGTCGGTAGTTAGTTTACTCGGTCTTTGGACCAATGGCCACTAGAGGAGGTAGGTGGATTTATTTTTATTTCTTTATTCTGAATACAAAAATAATATTCATGGATTAAACACAATGAAGTACCAAAAATGGAAAACTTATTTCCATTGTGGTCCAAAAATGTGGAAAGAATCTCGCACATAAGATCTTTTCTAGTTAAGTAGACTATTCTGGCATCAAACCACAAGTACAAGTCAGGGGTAGCGCCAGGATTTGCCTGACGGGGGGTCCGAGGTGCCCGACGGGAAGTGGAGGCATGCCCCGACGAGGGGGAAGATTTCCCCGACGAGAGCCAAGTGGGTGTGGTCGAGCTTAGCTCGACATCGACGCATACGGACAATAATAATAATAATAATAATAATAATAATTATTATTATTATTATTATTATTATTATTATTATTATTATTATTAGTAGTAGTAGTAGTAGTAGTAGTAGTAGTATTAGTAAGCCTATTATTATTATTATTATTATTATTATTATTATTATTATTATTATTATTATAGATATAACAAAATATTTTACAGGCAAATTGGAAACAAAATCCAACAAAATTGATGGGTTATTGTTTAAAAAGACACCGCTTCCTACATATCAAGACAAAAAACTTGAATTGGTGCAGTCTTCGATACAATATCCTTGGAAGAGTCTACATCCACATGTTGGTACCATAGAAACTATCGACGCTACTAAAACCGCATTTTATCTCAAATCTAGAAAAATCCAAGTCGGTGATTTCTTTAGTGTAGTAATACAAACAAAGGACAAAAACAATCGAAGCCGTGTCCAAGGAGGAGATTTCTGGTTTCCAAGAATAGAAAGTGATAATCTAAATGCTAGTAGCCACGGAAAAGTAGTAGACTTTGATAACGGAACATATGAAATCATATATTTTGCAGCCTGGGAAGGAAAAACAACAATTGATTTAACGCTAGTCGCGCCAGCCGAAGCTATAAAGTATCAAACAAATGTAGTTTGGCCTATAGACCAGAGAATCCAATGGATTGGATATTTTTCAGACGGTAAGACAAACGAAACAGCAGACTGTGGAATATATGATAGACAAACGTGGAAAGATATGTGCGAATACCCAGAACCGAATGCGCTTGGTGGCGCCATCTTCCTATGTTCCCGGCCGAAAACACTACCTTGTGATACACTAGTTAGATTTAACGAATCGAGGGCCAATTGGAACGATGCCTATCTTAAAACAGAGAATGGACAGAAGTTATGGCAGTTATGGAGGTATGATTCATATTTTATTCAAATTGTTTTTTTGAGTATCAACGTACTTTGAAATGATAAAAAAAATAATAGTAATAACAACGACAACGACAATAATAATAATAACAATAACAATAACAATAATAATAATAATAATAATAACAACAACAACAACAACAACAACAACAACAACAACAACAACAACAATAATAATAACTAGACTTACTATGTCTGTTTGTACAACAGAACATAGGGCTTTTCCTCATTGCTGTAATGAGAAAATGAAGTTTAAATTGCAACAAAAAGAAAAGATGTTAAAAAGTGTAAAGTAAAAAAGAAAGCCAAAATCCTTGTCGTACTAAAAGCAAAGTTCACAACTCCTACGACGCTAGACTTGCCACAAGTCTCTTATTTTTTATTATTTTTCTCATTCTGGACAGCGCCACCAACGAGAAAGTTAATTTAGAGACGGTTCGAAAAAAAAGAAATCGAGTATGGGACGCCAATTAAATTAGGTATGGCGCGCACTAAGTGCAATAAAGAGTGAGTAACCTAAAATTAGGGCCTGGAACCCAGGCTACTACGACGCTAGTGAGATTTTAACTATGGCTGCAATTGTAATTGCGAGGTACATCGAGACTCATAACCATTGCGCGCTATATGAGCCGACCTTGTATAATGCCAGTGTATTTTCCGTTCATAGCGATTCAGAGGCTGAAAGCAAAAAAATTGTTCATGCATATCACGGTAGTCCTCATATCTACACCCTACTGCGGATTGTCACCAAAATTTGATCATTTCTTCACTAGACCATGATAAAATGTTATAGAAAGTTTCATTTAGGCCCATTTAAAAAGAGATATTTAGGTCTGGGACGTCAGAAATTTATATGACCCTCGCATTACACCCTCACTTGGATCGTCCCCAACACAAAATTATTTCTTCCTTGTAACTTGGATAAACTTTCCCGAAAATCTCGTTTAGTAGGTAGCCTGGGACGTTTTCCTTTGAATGGTCCTCATATCCACACCCTTAGGGGCGGATCCAGACATTTTCTGACGGGGAGGGTGGCACAATATAAAGTTCACGCCGCCACGCTCAACCCAGCCCCACCAATAAGTGGTAAGTAATCGGATAATCGAGCTTTCCTTTCGCCCACTGCTGTATCGCAACACCCCGCTGGATCCGCCCTGACCCTACTCCGGATTGTCACAAAAAATTAAAAAAATCTTTACTAGACCTTGGCAAACTATTATAGAAAGTTTAATTTATACCCATTGACTTTTTTAAAGAGATATTTAAGTCTGGGAAATCAGAAATTTAAATGAGCCTCACATTTACACCCTCAACTTGATCTTCCTCAACATTCCCTGTAACTTGGTTAAACTTTTCCCCCGAATGTTTCATTCAGATCAGTTGATCCGTTGTTGAAATATCTGGTCTGGGACATTTTCGTTTGAATGGTCTTCATATCCGCACCCTACTCCGGATTGTCACAAAAATGTAATCATTTCTTAACTAGACCTTGACAAACTGTTATACGAAGTTTCAATTATACCTATTGATTTTTTAAAAACGATATTTAGGTCTAGGACCTCAAAAATTTAAATGACCCTCAAATTTACTCCCTTACCTAGATCGTCCCCAACACATAATAAATTCGTCCTTGTAATTTGGTTAAACTTTCCCGAAAGTTTCATTCAGATCAATTGATATGTTATTGAAAGAGGTGTTGACTGTTTGCTCTTAAATCTCTTTAATTGGTCCTCACATGCACACCCCACCCTAGATTGACACTAAATATTAGGAAGCACATCCTTGATATATGGCCTATGAATCGGCAAAACATAGAAAAGCTCCAAGCATGGGAAGCTACCAAAGTACCGGGCGGAAAAACCCAGTGCAAAAAAATAGGAATATAGTATGCAAGAAAAAAAAGATAATATAATATATTTCAATAAAAATAATAATACTAATAACAACATTGATAGTAATAATAATAATAATACATTATTAATAATGACGAAAAGTATAATGTCCTTGGCATTTATAAATTATACAATTTTGGAATGGAAAAGGATAAGTTTTTAAATGTGGAATAACATTGTTTAGGTTCAATTTTTCTAAAATAAGAAGCAAACCCAGAATATTAAATAGTGTTTATGGGGCGGAGCTGCAATTTCAAAATCTGCTTTTGGTTATTTCAGTCTGAATGGAGCAAAGGCTTATCCACTCTGAATAGTTCAGAATCTGTACAATGTAGGCCCACAGCTTTCTCTCTCCATTTTGAGACCGCCTTTGGACCTGAAATTGTTAAGTTATCTCTTAGTTCGGCAAATTAAACGATTAGCTGTGTGTTAAAAGTTTGAAGATTTTTGGACTTTAAAAACATGGTCCCGAATTAAAAGGTTTCGTAATTAGAGCGGTCTTTAACTAGAGGGTGAACTGTGTAAAAGTAAATTCGTAATAGGCCTATGTAGAGAACTACTTAACTCTTTTTTTTTTTTTTTTTTTTTGGCCATAGAAATTTATTTTATGTGCAGCTTCTAAATGGACCACACACTGTGAATATCGAACCCTCCAAAGGTAAAGTACCACACGCAGAAAAATAAAAAATGGTACAACGTATTAAGGCGTAATTTACAAAATAAAGTTGTAAATATTCGTATTTCTGTTGAGGATGGTCAGTATTTTTCATTACTATTTTAAAATCAGGTTACCGGCCCATGTTTAATATGGAGTTAACTTTTGTGGAGATTGATCAAATTGTTAATGTTTGAAATTTACCTGCATTTCAGAGCATAAGGACGTCAACAGTGACAAGAAGACCGATTTAGAGATTTTCTCAGTTAAAAAATTAAATCTTCCAAAATGTGAACCTGACCAACAACAGATGCTAAGCGATGGATATTGGATGCAATCCACGTGGATTTCGTTTCAATGTGATACAAAACAATGGAGTCGTTCGGATATTGAATCGTGTCTGCGTGGTAAACACGTCCTGCTTATGGGGGACTCAACAACGCGCCAGTGGTACAAGGGTATAACGAAAATGCTGGAATTTGAGCAAAATTGGTTTGTAAAAGCAGATAAAATCATACGTTACTACGACCATCTACAACTCAATATGACATTCCGATTTCACCCTTATGGAATGTTACCCCGTATCTCTTCATTTTTTGATGCAGATTTTGAAGCCAATTTACTTGACAAACTTCCAGCAGAAAGATGCAATTATATCATTGTGATTAGTCCATGGGCTCACTACGAGAAATGGACAAAAGATACTTATGTCATTCGACTGAAATTTATTGTAAAGGCCGTAATGAGGCTCATAGAAAGATGTCCTAATTCAAAGATTGCCGTGAAAAGCCCACATCCACGCGAAAAATCGGATTTTCTTTTGAATGTCAATTATTTTTTTTATGAAATTAGAAAACTTATGAGGGCGGTATTTACTGGCGTTCGCGTTCATTTTATTGATATATGGGATATGAACAATGCATATATAATGCCGAACGAAATGCACATGCCGATGCCCGTAATCTATCAGGAACTTTATATGTTTTTCTCCCACGTATGTTGACGATTTAAAGTTACTAATATAGATATGATCACTTTAGGCCTACTTTATAAAATCAGTTACTTCTAATGAGATTCGAGACCGCAGTGTCCCAGTTTAGGGCGTCTGAATAAACAGCAGAAGGAATTAAAAAATATATCTTGGAATCATTTCACGATGATATTTTTTGGTTGTTAATAGTAATATTCCTAGAATGGTTGGCTCAACACAGTACTCCAAATACAGTTTTTTTTTTTTGCATCATAAATGTATTCTATTAGTAGCTCGAAATATGCATATGGCAGGCCTAACAAATTAAATAATATTGACGATGATGATGGTGTTGCTGTTGCTGCTTCTGATGTTGTGTTGTTGTTGTTTTTGTTGATGATGATGATGATGATGATGATAATAATAATAATAATAATAATAAATAATAATAATAATAATAATAATAAAAATAATAGTAATAATAATAATAATAATAATAATAATAATAATAATAATAATAATAATAATAACAACAATAACAACAACAACAACAACAACAACAATGTGTTTGTGTTTAATGTGTTCTGGAAGATTGTTCCAGAGGTTAGATGATGAAAATGTAAATGATCCATCACAATAAAATGCTGTGCTTGTCTTAGGCACAACGATTCTTGACTGTGATGATGATCTTAATCTAAATGTTGGATGATGTATTACAGGCCTAATTGATTTTCTGATTTACGCTGGGACCTCGGTGTTAATAGCCTTTAATATTTAAGTTGTTAGCAGGACTTTGAAGATGAGTCGTTTCTTTATGGATAGTCAGTGGAGATCGTTGAAAATAGGTGTAATGTGCCAGTGTGTAAGTATTTGTTCTGGTTATTAAGCGAGCTGCAGTGTTTTGGAAGACCATATAAAACACTGTTGCAGAAGTCAAGGCGGGATATAACACATGCATGGATCAGCTTGTGAGTTGTATCATTACCCAGGAATTTTCTGATGCTGCCAATTTTGTGTATGCCAACATACGCTGCCCGACAGACATTACGCACTTGTTTTTTTTTTCAGCATCTTAGGCCCTACTGAAATAACCCCTAAATTCTTGACTTCAGATTTTATTTCAACTTAAATGTTACTAATCTCAATTATTGACCAGAGTGGAGCCATTCTGGAATAATGAGACATAAAATGGCGGATCTGGGTTGAAATTTACGGGGGGGGGGGGTGAACATGTTCTTAAAAAACCCTAGAAAAAAAGGGGGGGTGTTCGGCGGTCCTCCCCCGGGAAAATTTTGATTCCTAGATGGCGGGAAATGAGCTTTTAGTTACTTGCAAAAGGAACTTTAAATGGATCCTAATGACTGGTCATGTATCTGGAAAATAAAAATTGGTCAAATTTATGAAATAAAATTAAGACAGTTTAATTTCAAGTTATTACATGCCATTTTGATTAACAATAAGAAGTTATTTAAATTCAGAATATCTCCAACACCCCTTTGTTCTTTATGTGGTATTACTGAAGATTATATGCACATGTTTTATTATTGTAAACGTGTTAATGGATATTGGGATACTATGGAGAATTTCTAAAAAAGAAATGGACTTTTAGTTGATATTGATATAAAATCTATTGTATTTGGAGTTTATAAGAAGAGAGATAAAAAATAACGTAGCAAATGAGCTGATCAGTTTAGCTAATTTCGTAATTTATAAAACATGGCTCAAGACACGTGAATGTAAACAAAACATTGCTAAACCTATTATACCAGTTTTTTACGCTTAACTTAAATTTAGAATAAGTTTACAACAAAACATCCATCTAGTGAAAGCAAGCAAGTTTAAATCTATTGTTATCTAATGTAGTAATAAAGGATATTACTGTAATTAAATTATTATTAATATCACTATTATTATTATTATTTGTACTATCGGCATACTGTTTCACAACTGTAGGTGTGTTGTTAATAACTGGATTAGGTATGTTTAATAAAAAAAATAAGCAAATATCTTTTTATGTTATCCTAAAGGAAAACTGAAAGAAATATTGTTATTGAATGTTTTCAAATAAAATTATTAAAATAAATGACCATTTGGTCAACGAGTAAAAAAAAAATATGAAAAATCACAAGACAAAAACAACTTGGCAATGACAAAATATTACGTTAAGATATTATGAAGTGCAAATATTAAAATGTTTAAACGTCGTAATAAATATTAACTCTATAAAATTATTTACAAATTACCTAAAAAACGACCGTGACTAGAAATGTAATTCTAGGAAGAATTAAAACTTAAAAACCTAGCGTTTTACTATAAAATTGGAAATTACATATGGAATTAATGACTTTCACTTTTGTTAAAATTGAATTGTAAACACAATGGACGTGTTTATGTTTCAAGGCAAAGTCAATACAAAATACAATAAAAAATTAGAATAAAAAAGTCTGAGGATTACCTAGCGAACGTAATCACTATCTAAAAGGTTATTCAGAACACATGAAAGGAATAGACAATGCATTAAATGCACAAACATTAGGTGATTAAAAGTCATAGGAAAACAATACTTAGAAAAATACTTATATGTAAATTCATAATTCAAATGTACAATTATTGAATACTGTACACAATTCTTATTATTTTACAATGCTAAATACAACTTCAATTTAATTTACGATGTTTATAAATCTGCTCCATACGATTATTATGTAATTTCATTATTGAATCAATATCAATCTCCCTTAATGCTTCATTTACTTTTCTTAACAATTTGTTCAAATTGCTCCTTGTTGGAGTTAAAACATTACCAGAATAACAAATCAAGTGAAAAATCAAAACACTCTTTATAACTGCTTTGTAAAACAGTGTTTCACGATTTACACTGAACATTCCTAGCTTTTTGCTATAGAAAGTATAGGCGTTGATTGGTACGTAGTCATTTCAGGGTGTACTTTTCACGGCATCCTATTGCCAATTGTGGTTCCTAAATACTGATATTGATCAACTTTCTCAACCAAGACTTCTATAATTTTAAGAGGCTCAATTGTACCTTTCTTGTTTCTAAAGTCCATTATCGTTTCCTTAGTCTTATCAATCTTTAAATTGTTATCATCACACCATTTAACGAATCTATGTACTTCATCATAGTAATCAATATAGGCCTATGTCTGCCACAGTCTGTCAGAAACCCCGTTATTACAGTTTTTGGCATATTTCATGATAAAGCATATTGTATCATTGCAGATGTAATCAATAGTGTAAAGTGTAAAAAGAATAGGCGAGAGAACACATACCGTACTTGTGGCGCACCAGTACTGACAGAAAGTACAATGAAAGTTGATCTAATGTAGCTTCTTGGTATAATAATCTAGATGTCTATCGGTACAGTATAGTAAAGTGGTGACAGTGACTTTAAAATTATATTTTGATAGAATTTAAGAGAATTAAAATTAAGAAAAGCCTGTATCATGTATCAGATGCATAGCTAAAAAAGGTAAAATTATCAGGGCATTAAGAACAAACTAATAAACTGAAAGTAGCATCGACATGGGAGAAAGCTAAGTCACTGATGATACCAAGATAGGCCCTATTTATTCAGACTCAACATTTGGCTTTTATGTTGAGTTTAAGATCAGATTTTTCTCTGAGTCATTTAAAGACTGTTAATGAGTATTCAAGGAACGCCACTGATGTTGTGGTCAGAGGAGATGAAATGGTAAGCGACAAAACAGAACTCTGTTTTAATGGTGGGTGTTCTGTTTTTGGTTATTGATTTGGAACTTCAATTTACCACCGATTTCAAATTCAAGTTCAATTTATTGTCATATACAAAGTAAATGAAATTTGTTTTCCAAGGTTCACAATAAAAACAATGACATACTAAAATACAATACAGAGGATACGATATATTAATAATAATAATAATAATAATAATAATAATAATAATAATAATATTTAAGCATTTATATAGCACTCTTTACCAGAGTCTTCTAAAAGTATGAACCATGGAAAAAGGTGAGTTTTAAGAAGAAATTTAAATTCAGAAAGAGTTGGAGCATAACGGATGGTGGCGGTTGGAAGTTCGTTCCAGAGAAGAGGTGAAAATGCATAAAAACCTTTGGGGACAGATGTTAAGTTTGTTTTAGGTGTGTATAGTATAAAAGGATCAAGTTCAGAACGAAGGCCAGCACGTAAAGGAGTATATAAAGTTATAAGTTATATGCTTATTGTATTGCCTGATTGCACACGGAAGAAATGATTTGTTATGACGCTCAGTCTTCTTAATTGATAAAATAATTCTACCTGATTTACTGAAATTAATATGATTAAACAGAGGACGGGACTTGTCATTAATTATACATTTTAGTTTTTTTTCTCTATAGCCTTATCACAGATGTCAGAGATAGACGGAACGTCTGCTCCTATTACTTTCTTAGCCATAGTAATAATCCTCTGTAATTTATTTGCATTATTTTTAGATAAACTATTTAGCCATACAATACAACAAAAGGTTATTATGGAATGTATCATAGCCTGGTGAAATATAATTTTCTTAAAAAGTACATTCGTTGGTTTACCTTCGCATATAGTTTCTCGGTGTTTGCATTCCATGTTAGTTTTCGTCTATCCAAACACCTTAGTATGTATGTTCACTAGTGGTGCAGACATCATTATCTTTGATACTTAAAGGTAACAGTTGCGTTTTGATTTTTCGAAAGTCGAATACAATTTCTTTAGTTTTTTCTCACATTGATAATTAGGCAATTCATATCACACCAATTAATTAAATTATCAACCTCAGCCCAAAAAGTACTCTCATCATTGTTTGCAATTAAGCCTGTGATGCAGGTGTCAGCAAATTTAACAATTTGACAAGATTCACTTATAAGATCACTTGTGTATAATGTGAATATAAATGGAGACAACACACAACCTTGTGGAGCACCCGTGCTTGAGACAATGGTATCCAATAGAATGTTATCAATTCTAACACACTGGGCCCAATATGTAGCATTGGTCACATTTTCTAACCCAGTGAACCAATTGCAGCCACTAATAAAAATTAAGTTCATGACCATACCAAAATTAAATGTCTTCGTTGTATGAAGCTGGGAGTTGTGTGAATTCTAGTGAAGTGGTCCCTAAGAATTAGGACCATTGGTGTGTATGCCTCTAAAGCTCTGTGCACATCAAATTCTCTATGAAAAAACCTGTTGTAAGTCCATATATAGTCATGACGTGCCCATATATGGTACATGATGTGATGTCATCATGACTATATTATAGTCCGGATAGAGTTTTACATTCATATTTGTATGTTATAATAACTACCATTATTTACGTTTTGAAATGAAATTTTAGAAAGTAGAATTTGTATTTGTGTAATCTTCTAAAACATTCAGATTAATCTACGACGAAATTATCTCCTCTAAAAACAGGTTTATTTCTTTTACAGTGTATCTTTTCATTATCGATTGTGTATGTAACTAATTTGGTTGATCAATCCGGATAACTTTAAACTTCGTATTTCGAGAAAAGATATTAAAATGAAATTTGTGACAAACAGTAGAATTTGTGTTTGTGTAATCTTCTAGAACACCCATAGATTAATTCGACGGAATTATCTCCTCTACAAACAGGCTTATTTCTTTTACCCTGTATTTTTCATTATCGATTGTGTATGTGACTGATTTTGGTTGATCCATCCGGATAATTTTAAACTTCGTATTTCGAGGAAGAATTGCTTCTTCCAGCAAATCGTAATTTGCTTCACTAGGGGGAAGAAACTGGTGCACATCTACAGCAGACTTTGGCTGTATCGTCAGTTTGTAATAATCATTTCCTTTTTTAACGGTACCAATGACATCTGTTACCTTAAGATCGGTTCTTTTTGATGTACTTAAGTATGTCGGATTAAAGATTTCTCTATTTGAACGATAATCGTTTAAACCAGGTAAAACTTGTTCGTAACGGATCAATGACTTGACGTACTTTGTCTGTTCAGCTAGAAAAGAATCAATCTGAATCATATTTTCTTTGAAAATATCAATTTCTGCTTTTGGGAGCTTTCGACCTGCAGGGGTATCTCTTAAATAATTATTCATGTTTGTAGATATGCCGCCGTTAACCCTGCCTTTGGCTGTGTATGCACGTAAAGCTAAATACTCTCTTTCTGTAATCTTATTTTTGAGGTTGGGAGCCAATTTCTTGTATGCGTCAATCCAATTGCGGCGAAGTACATTTAAAGTACGTGTCGAAGGAGCCAAATTGCAAAACACTGTCATCATTCCGGTGTCTACATTGTCGTATAGGTAAAGCACTGCTGAGGACGTTTTGTAATTTAATCTGTCCAGAAAGGTTTGCGAGCCTTGATATGATATTACTGTCCCGTAAAATTCCTTGTGGTCAAACAGCAGCACATTACATTTTCCCAAACAACTCAGATACGAGTATTTGTCATTCATTGCGTCGCTGACAAAACCGGCTTTTTCCTTTACTTCTTTAATTTGGCCTTCAAAATATTTGTCTTCATAAAAGGTAACAGGCGATTGGACTTTTCCCTGGTATTCTTTATAATCCCAAGGTCGAAATTGAACTGATCTTACTTTAATCCATTTTTCACTGATTTTCAAAACGTCTGCAAGAAACGCCTTAAATAAACCTTGGTACACAGTAACGCTGCAAGTCTCGCATGATAGTTTCAAAGACTTTATCTTGACTAGGGATAAAAATATAGTGTCAGCACATACATTCTTAACAATCCCATTAAAGTTTGGTTCGGTTTCTCTACAAAGCATGGATAAAGAATATGGCAGAAAAATAAAGGACGAGAAACGATCGTTATAATCCTTGCCCTCATATGGTGTTTCGTTTTCATATGAGATTTGAAAGGCCGTAAATTGTGAGTGTTGAAAAACTATCACAGTACTAGGAGTAAGTTGGCATGAGAACGAAAATGTTTTGCCGTTAAACTCCGCACCCATGTAATCAACAAGGAAGTCTTCGAATATGCCTTTGTGGTACGAGTCTTGATACAGTGTTACGGTTCCGGCACCAGCTTCTCGTTTGTGAATGGAACTTGAAACTTTAACGGGGACAGGATGGCAATCTTTTTTCCATACCAGGACACTATTATAGTCTAGGTCTAGAGATGTTGTCTCGCCCATACACCTATCAACAAGTGTGACAGTTTCGTTGCCGATTAAGCCGTAACACTCTCCATTAAATCGTTCACATATTACATGCGCCTCTGATAAGTTTTCAAATTGACCTTGCTTCTTGTGGCAGTTCTCATTCCACTTACAAACCATGGGATGGATAGCGGTTTCCAAAGCCTGTCCTTCATTGATTAGAAGCTTTACACTACTTGCAACAGTGTCTTCAGTTGACAATGATGAGTTTAACTCTTCTTGAACCTCCGTGTCTACTTGACTATTAGTATCCTGTGTGTCAAACAAACTGTCTATGGCATCCAGCACTATATTTAACACTTCTTCTAACCTTCCCAACTTAGATTCTAATTCAGTTGTTAAAATCTCCAAACTTTTAATATAACAGCCAAGGGTCACGAATACCAAAAGTAGAGAGAAGTCGTTCGTCTCTAAATTGAAAGGTAGGCCTATAGATTGAAGGGTCATGTTAGTTATTTCATCTTTCAATTCATTACAGTTGATTGAAGGTTTGGATTCAAACGTGTCGAGTTCGCTGTCAATTAAAGCAGACTTGATATTCTCAATGAAATAGTGATTTGCTGTCAGCAGAGAATCAGATATGATGTGTTCCATCTCCTCCACAATTTCATAGGCTTCTTGCAGATCTGCATTGTTGTTGAGGGTGCACTGACCAATGTCCAGGATTACCCTATCTACCCCAGTACCAGCTGTTGTTGCCAGAGGCCCGCCTACACTGTTGTCAGCTACATCATGTTTTCGTTGTTGGCTGTCGGATAGGCCTATTTGTCTGTGGAAGAAAAACTGTGCAACCGTTTTAATTCAGTGGTTCATACAAAAGTCCATGAACAGATTTTATTGCATGCCCACTAATAAGACTTTATCGTCACTGAAAATAATTATTAGTAAATATTGCACTACATTATAATCTGCAGAAACGATAGCATGCAAATCTCTTTTTTATTTCGTGGCCCTGAAAAGGGCCGTTTGGTTTGAGAAGTTCTGGAACGTTTAAACACTTGGGTCTGGTCAGATTTGTTGCCTTTTCCCCTTGCAGACATAGAATAACCTTACTTCATCCTGGCAATGTGTGTTGGTTTTCTCAATTAAAGGCATCAAACAACAACAAGTGTAAGTAACACATCTTCCTCTTTGTATTCATCTCCATCTGCAACAAAGAATAATAATATTGAGACAATTAGCTACCAAATTTATTTTAATGTAGACGTAAGCATCTTCTGTAATTAAGCCAACTTTCACCCAACCTCTGAGGTAATATGACTTGCGGGCAGCGCATTTGCATATACTAGTATCATGTGCTCAAAGATCTCAATCATAAAGTGTAACAATATTGTATACACTCAAGCGGGAATTAGCATTAGTGAGTATAAAAATACACAACATGCAACTCGGAGGCGGATATTTAGATGCTTGCCAAGTAAAAATAAATACTGTAGGCATAGATATAATAATATATAAATATTTAAAAAATATCACAACTAACTATAACAAATTCATTCTATTATTTTATCATGCTTTGCCAGAATTCATCAATCGCGACAGCTATTTCTAAATCTGTTAGTTCTACACCTGGGTTCAAGAAATTTCTTTTTACAAAACGTCGCATCAAACGATCGGATTTTGTACATTCCTCAGCAAAATAAGTGCATATTTCCTGCCTTCAAACAGAAAGAGGACTTCGCTTACAAATTGAAATGTCATTTTCATATCAATATATTGATCACCAAGAAAAATCTTACATGCACGTTTTTCTAGTAGTCGCGATTGAATTTTTAACAATTTAACACAGTCAAAGGTAAATGTCAAAACAGACTGCATTATTCTCGGACGAATATTTCGACAAGGTCAGTTTGAGGAACACCAAATATTTTAAACTTCCTAGCATATGAATCATTTACTACCTCTAGAAACAATAATAATTTATATGTGTTTCCCATTTCAAATCTATCTGGATTCAAATACAAAGCAATAATTATGGTTGCAGAAACATTATTGTTTGATTTATTTATTAAACACATAAAACAACACACAAACAAACATTATGACGACGACGGCGGCGTCGACGACGATGACGATGATGATAATAATAATATAGGTTTTTAATATAGCGCCTTATAATAATCTCTCAGAGCGCAATTACACTCAAAAATGAATATTATACAAATTAAATATTAAAAAAATGCTTTTTTAGGCGGTCCATAAACATAGTCAAGGACGTTGCCTCTTTATAAATATTGGTGAACTGGCAGTAAAAGATCGAAAGTCATATTTTGTTTTAGATGTTACTGGTGTAAGAGGCATGGGAAAAGAGGATCTAAGTAAATGGCAGACTGGTAAAGAACTACAAGTTCAGATAAGTAATTTAGTGCTTTACTCTGAAGGACCTTACAGGTTAAAAGAAGAATTCGTTTTTCTACTGGTAACCAATGAAGAGAGCGCAATGCTGAAGAAATACTGTCAGAACCTTCATCCGAGTAACAAGTCTAGCTGCATAGTTTTGCACGTTGTAACTTAGCAATCTGGAATGCTGGTATACCATACAATAAACTATTACATCTCTCAATTCTGGAACTTAGAAAAGCGTGCACTAACGGTAGTCTTTCCGTGGTGTTGTTATCTAGGAACTTCCTAACTCTACCTATTTTGTAGATAGAAAAGTTAACTAAACGACAGGTATTAGTAACATGATTATTAAGCAATAACTTTTCATCTATCATAGGTCAAAGACTACGAGCACCAGGGACAGTGTTGATGGACTTATCACCAAAACGAATAGATGAAAGTTTGATTTGGTCTTTGAGGTGTCAAGATGTAATGTGGAAAACTTATGTTTTGTCATCTTTTAGCTTAAGTTTGTTTGCAATGATCCACCTGCCAACATGAGAGAGACAATCTTGTAATTTCGACAGCTAATAGGAAGATCTTTCGGTGAAAAAAGCGATATACAACTGAAATTCATCAGCATACTCTTTGGTTTGAATACCATGTGATGTAATTACTACTTCAAGCGGTGACATGTAAAGTGAAAGTAACATAGGGCCCAGAACACCATGGTGAAACGTAAAAACTTTAGATTCAATCTAATTGACATCAGTTTGCGTGCCTTCACTGAGAAAAGATAAAAACCATGTTAGCGCAGTACCACGTACACTAAACCTATTGGATAAGCGATCAATTAAAACAACATGATCAGCAGTATCAAAAGCTGTCGATAGATCCAATAAGGCATGACATATTATGACAATATTACAGTTACGTATATTGATATTTGTTATTTGCTTAATGGAATTTGTTTCCTTATAGTAACGGCGTTTTTGGTGATTGAAGGTTGATTCATACAAAAACTCGTTCTCGTGGTTTGTTCTCCGACCTATACAATATATATATATATCTGTCTCTTATACACATCTAGATGTGTATAAGAGACAGATTTAGATGCTTGCCAAGTAAAAATAAATACTGTAGGCATAGATATAATAATATATAAATATTTAAAAAATATCACAACTAACTATAACAAATTCATTCTATTATTTTATCATGCTTTGCCAGAATTCATCAATCGCGACAGCTATTTCTAAATCTGTTAGTTCTACACCTGGGTTCAAGACCAAATCCCAGATCCGCCACTGTTCTTCCACATACGTTATACAATAGCAAAGATTATTCAAGTATAATGATGATGATGATGATGATGATGATAAAAAGAAAACCAAAAGAGTAGACATGGATAAAACATGATTGGGTCGGGAGCGGAGCTTAATGGATTAACATAAAAGGCCCTTGGTGTCCTAATTTTGGAAAAGTCGCTTCCTTTAGCATAAGGACTTTCACTGTGCTGAGTACTATATTTGATAACACTGACTAAAGCAGTATGAGATAAATGAACGATGACGGACAACTGCTTAAGATTATTCATGACGTCATCCTAAGAAGCCACACCTCCCTCGGTTGAAGTCGTGGTATTTATCAACTAGCTAATAAAAGCAAAGGCGCGCGAAACACCGCGAAACATCACAACTTTTCCACCGTGTGAGGGTATCTCGATTTAATGACGTCATGCTAAATCAAATAATAATAATAATAATAATAATAATAATAATAATAATAATAATAATAATAATAGTAATAATAATAGTTACAGTAATAATAATAGTTACAGTAATAATAATAATAATAATAATAATAATAATAATAATAATAATAATAATAATAATAATAATTATTATTATTATTATTATTATTATTATTATTATTATTGTTATTATTATTATCCTAGATTTATAAATCGCCTAATGCCATGAAACCTCACCGCTAATGATGCAAAAACAGTGATTTAGACAGTAGAACACAAACTATTTTATTCAGGAAACGAATGTTTCTAATTGTCCTCAATACTACATCACATAATACCTCCATGATCACATTAAATAAAATCGATTCCAGTCTGCGCCTGATCTGATCAAAGCGTAGAGAATGGCAAAGTTTCGACTGTCCTGATTCTTCATGCAGTCAATGAAACGGAAAACTAGTAACACCACGAGATAGGGGGCTCCCTATTATAATTTGAAGCGCTTAAAGATACGGACGACTTCTCTTTAGAAGAACGCCCTCTAAGTCATGGTACTACTTTTCGAGATAGGATTGCGTTTCAAAGAAACTCAAGAGTCGGACCTCTTGACATTGACAATACACTTTTACCCCCTGATTCTCTCTCTCTCTCTGGGAATTTCCACCATTACGATGATATACAGTTTGTGTGACAAAGTTAATTATTTGTAACCATTTATACTGTATGCCAAACGGGCATTACAGACCTACTTTATATTAAAATATCAGTGGCGAATCCAGGAATTCAAAATGGAGGGGGTTCGGGGAGGTACTTTCACAGATAAAGGATGTATAGCACCTCAGCCCCACCATGGTTGGGGCTGAGGTAAGAACATTTGTAATTATGGTACCTATAGATAAGCGGAAGTTGCACTCTCAGACTTTAAATCAATTGTATTTATATTTCCTTTTTTTTTAAAGTTAAAAAAAAAACAATTTAGAAGGCCGGGGCGGCTGCTCCCCCACCCCCACCCTTGAATCTGCCACTGAATATGATTTTATATACGTTTATTTGATCTGGTCTTATGCATTGCATGTTTTTACTGTACATCATTAATTTTATCTCTTTACGGGGGCGGGGCCCCTGAGTCCTGACTTTGGGGCATTGGTTCATTTCAACGAACCGCCGGTAATTATGCGCTGCCACTGAAATTGGCGAAACATCACTTATCTTTTCACGAGCAGTTCATAGGAAAAATAATAATAAAAAAAATAATACTTAGAATAGTGACGCACATTAGGAAATTCCAATTTTGTTTGCGTGTAGGCTCTATTTCATGTAAACAGTGTAGTAAATAAATTCGTTTAGATCGCTGTTAATGTTTGTAGAATTATCTTTTGGATGATCCAAGTAACAGACAATTTTTACGTTGATGTAAACTTACGTTATTTCTTCGAGATTTTATTCACTGGTTTATCAACACAGTCATGATTGATGCCATGAAATATTGGAACTCGTTGCTGTCAATGCCAGTTCGACCATTTAGGTTGGTATAAACGCGAAAACGGGAGCGTCGAGGTCGGGGGTCGTGTCATGCAGGTTGTGCTCGCCCTCTAACGGCCAGTAGTCAATTCACATAGTTGGATTGTACTCATGGTTTATATTTTTTATTTTTATTTACAATAAATTACAATGAAAATAAAGACAGTCCACATAAACAATATACAATCAAGGTAACTTATTATTATTATTATTATTATTATTATTATTATTATTATTATTATTATTATTATCCTGGATTTATAAATCGCCTAATGCCATGAAACCTCACGGCTAATGATGCAAAAACGGTGAGTTAGACAGTAGAATACAAAATATTTTATTCAGGAAACGAATATTTCGTCTCCTCAATACTACATCACATTAAATAAAATCGATTCCAGTCTTCGCATGATCGAAGAGTACAGAATGGCAAAGTTTCGACTGTCCTGATTTTTCATGCAGTCAATGAAACGGAAAACTAGTAACACCACGAGATAGGGGGCCCCCTATTATAATTTGAAGCGCTCTAAAGATACGGACGACTTCTCTTTAGAAGAACGCCCTCTAAGTCATGGTACTACTTTTCGAGATAGGATTGCGTTTCAAAGGAAACTCAAGAGTCGTACCTCTTGACATTGACAATACACTTTGCCCCCTGATTCTCTCTCTCTGGGAATTTCCACCATTACGATGATATGTGTTTGTGTGACAAAGTTAATTATTTTTAACCATTTATACTGTATGCCAAAGGGGCATTACAGACCTACTTTATATTTAAATATCAGTGGCGGATCCAGGAATTCAAAATTAGAGGGGGCCCAGGGATGTACTTTCACAGATGAAGGATGTATAGCACCTCAGCCCCCACCATGGTTGAGGCTGAGGTAAGAACATTTGTAATTATGGTACCTCCAGATAAGCGGAAGTTGCACTCTCAGACTTTAAATCAATTTTATTTATATTTCCTTTTTTTTTTAAAGTTAAAAAAAAAAAAAAACAATTTAGAAGGCCGGGGCGGCTGCGTGGTTAGGATGTCTGCTGTCTCCTTATACACATCTAGATGTGTATAAGAGACAGGGTCTTATGCATTGCATGTTTTTACTGTACATCATTAATTTTATCTCTTTACGGGGGCGGGGCCCCTGAGTCCTGACTTTGGGGCATTGGTTCATTTCAACGAACCGCCGGTAATTATGCGCTGCCACTGAAATGGGCGAAACATCACTTATCTTTTCACGAGCAGTTCATATGAAAAATAATAATTAAAAAAAATAATACTTAGAATAGTGACGCACACTAGGAAATTCCAATTTTGTTTGCGTGTAGGCCCTATTTCATGTAAACAGTGTAGTAATTCGTTTAGATCGCTATTAATATTTGTAGAATTATCGTTTGGATGATCCAAGTAACAAAAGTTGATGTAAACTTACGTTATTTCTTCGAGATTTTGTTCACTGGTTTATCAACACAGTCATGATTGATGCCATGAAATATTGGAAATCGTTGCTGTTATAATGCCAGTTCGACCGTTTAGGTTGGCTTAAACGCAAAAACAGGAGGGTCGAGGGGGGTCGTGTCCTGCAGGTTGTTGTCGCCCTCTAACGACCAGTAGTCAATTTACATAGTTGGATTGTACTCATGGTTTATATTTTTTATTTTTATTTACAATAAATTACAATGAAAATAAAGACAGTCCACATAAACAATATACAATCAAGGTAATACAGAAAAATATTAACCATCTTAAAAAGTCCAAAAAAATATTATTTTACGATAAAATTGCAAAACTATCAACAAAGCATACATTTCATTTAATTTTGATTTTAAAAAATAATGCTACAAAAAGGAAAATAATTATATTATTTAAATATCAAATTTAGAAAAACAGCTTTTTGTATTTGGTTTTACTGTTTATATTAGTAAATTCTTGAACGTGAAAATATTTGATTCCTAGAACTATTTCCCCAGGAACCCGTAAAGGATTCTCCATGGCACACATTTAGTGATCGGTGCAATAACATTCAAAGTCTTGAGTTTCTAGAAGAGTAGCCATGTCGATCGAAAACAATTTCGATTTCGTTATACAAACGAGAGGGGGGCCATGCCATATATATATTTGTACATTAATAGATATGGAATCGCAAGGTCACGTCGATCTTCAAATGATTTCCAATTTATCTGTCAAATTATGTTTCGCTACGAAAGTTTTTATAATCGAAGTTTTGTTTTATAACTCTTGCTGCACATTTTTGCTTATTTTTTGTTTTACAGTATCTTTATTATTCTCGGATTAGAAATTGCATAATATAATGTAATAATTAAAGACTCGTGCAATGTTTCTCAGGTTATGAACCTTGAAGCTTACAGAAGTACTTATGTATAGTATATGATAATCCCATATTAAGTTTTCGTCTATCTTTAAACCCAAATATCTTATATGTTTTACTTGTTCGATAAGTTTTCAGATGAAGATATATTCTGTTTTCTAATTAGCTTGACTTGTTTTATCTGCATTTGTTTTCAACTTATGGTTTTCAACTTGCGGTTTACAGTATCTACAGGGATAGATTATTATTTTATAGTGTCCGACTGTAGTCTGATTCTGCCCTGCACTGTAGTCTACTTTTGTCCTTATTGGCGCATTGTTGTAAAATTTGGGTAGGTCAGTCCCATTTCATCCATATCATATGTATTCTCTTATTTTTTCTGCCTTTCCATGCGGTTCCTTTGGCCAGAATTTTTTTGTTTGTGCTACGTCATCTAGTTAGTACCAGCAAAGTTGTAGACAACTTCAGATGCTGAGATTTTTTGCTGATCTGGTTAGGATGTCTGTGCAGTGGTGGCGCCAGAGGTGGGGGAACATTGGACAGGACAGGACCCCGATTCTTTGACGCCATGATTAAATCTTTCCTCTTTTCTTTAATTCATAATACAACTAGATAATACATTGTGTTTTATTTAGATCTGGTATTTTAATACATCAAATTTAAAGATCATATTTAAACTCATCAATCTGACGTAATTAGAAAATTCATAATTGTTATATTATTGCAACGATGAGTCGAACAAGTAGCTAGACATCGAGGTTCGTTATTAATTTTAATTCTTGTCCGTCGCTACCACCACTAAGCAAATCAAATTACTAATTTCATTAAAAATATTCCATTGAGTGTAAACGCCTTTCTAAAGCGCTGTATAAAAGCATTTACTATGCATTCGCTAGTAGCAAATTCTCCCTATTGTTCTTTCATTATGTACCAATATCAAACCTATTTTGCATTCATCAATACATCCATATTGATCTATTATTATGGCTAGATATCGCCCATTACTGTGTAGGTTTGTTTGACATTTAGCAGACACATTTGTTGTGGCTTAAATTTTTTTAAGTAAGAATGAATATGTAAGTATTATTAAAAAGTATTAATAAAAAATAATAAATTACTTTTCATGAATCATGTTTTACGTGCTGGTACTACCCACCATTTAAAAAAAATATTTTTAATTGTCAGAAATATAGCTTAACATAATTGTATTTTTATTGTTATTCAATGGGGACAAAAATGCAAATTATAAGGTCTATTAAAACAAGTTTTATTTTCTATTTTATGGGTCTTTATACATGGGAGGCCAGTCTTTCAACTGATTGGTCCGCACGGTTTGATTATTGTGAATAAAAAAAATGTATTCCAAAGAATAATATGTAAATATTATTTTTTGGAATAAATATACTACTAAGATTAATATTTACATAATAAAACTAAACATTATAAACTCTTTATTAATATTAAAATAATTTATTAAAAGTTTTATTTTTTCATCGATAAACGACAACCACTTCCCCTAGATTACTTTAAACAAAATTAATGGTAGCATTCTTCTTCCATTTTAGTACATTCGTACTGGATGAAGGCAGCGGCTGTGAGACGGACCAGTACACCGGGGTTACCCCCTACTCATCTCGAAAGATGCACTGAGTTCCTTATAGTACACAGAGCCATAGGCGAGCGTGCCGTTCGAACCAGCGCCGATATTACGGCTGTAGCTTGCGCTGGGCCATTCGACTCGTTGTCAGTCAACATATTCTGTTAATGTTCACAAATTTTGACGGTGATTATGCGTTGTAGTTCCATATTTACAGTGAAATTAAGGGCCGTTTGTTTGAGTATAGGCCTATATACGTATCCATTTATCCAATAAATAAATAATATATATATTAGCATATAATAGTATCTATTAGGCTTATATTCTGACATGCCCTACATTCATACCATTGCGATACCATTATTCATGGACGAAGGTAGCGGACAGAGAATAACCTTCCCCAAAAGCAAGTCACCCTTCAAAATAGACTATTTTGAAATCCAGTCATTAAAATATATTTGCAAATGACTTATTACGTCAATACTCTACCGCTCATGGTATGAGAGTACAATCCATGTACTATACAATACTTTATATATAGTAAATTGTTTGATATTTTTAACGTTTTTCTGTATCGATCATTCGACACCATGTATATTAAGAACTCCTTCACCGCAATACAGGACAATTTATGCTGCAGGTACACCACAACACAACAACATGCTATTATCTTCGTATCATTTGAATTCATTCAATGCCGTTTTCGTATTTACGTATGCTTCCTACACGGTATGATGCACTACAATACTTTATTGAAAACCTATTTCTAAAGCAACTGAAATATAAATTTTTTTTTCCCCCATCAAATCCATCCATTGTGCTACCTGCGTTCAAAGTTACTCATTCTGCTCGAAGGAATATATGAAAAACGTGTAGAAAATCATTCAAATTTGTCTTCTAGTACATCAGAACCACTGGATATTTTTAGGGATTTCAGCTGCTGGATCCTGGTAGCAGTTACCTGACCAAGCCTGCATAAGATCCATAACTTTTTGTTTTGCTCTGCAGACATTATAAATGATTAAATATAGAAACCATTTAAATTAGTCTACCATATCATAAACCAACTTTATACTTTTGAAGGGGCCTTTGTACCTGCACTCAGACCTGGATGGCCAGAAATGACACTCTCAAGACTTGAAAAATACTTTTAAATGTAAAGTTGATAAAATGCAATATTGTTACTATACTTTTAAACTCAACTCAATAAACACACATTTCATTTCATTAAGCCTAATTTTTTTTTTTTTTTTTTTGGTGCGAATTCCCGACAAGCTCTGACTGGGGGGAGGGGTCTGGGGCTTGACCTCTCTGATGGGGAGGCTTAAGCCCTTGCTTCCCCTCCCCTGCTAGCACTGCCACTGGCTTTGATGATTCCCCGTCTCCAGGCATAGGCTCACAGACACCATTATGTGATAGTTGACACAAGCTCTGGATCTACTACAGCTGTAAATACGTATATCTTTTAAATGTGCCACCAAAAGCGGGCCAAAATTCTGTGGAGCATTGTATTTAAAACCTAGATGCTGTTTAAATAATAGACAACAAAATTTAGACAGGATACAACTTCAAGTACCTTGAATTTATTCATCATAAATTATTTATCATTAACAATGAATTAATAATCACTAAGTGATTATTGATGAGTTAGTAAAAGTATTACGGTACCGTAATACACCTAAAATATGTGAAAATAAATGATTAAATTATTGCTCTCTAACTATACAAAAATACCCATATAACATTTATACTATTGTACCATGTTTACATTTTAGAAGATAATATTCATTCTGAAAATTTAGTTCAAAGTATATATAGCCGTGATAGCCAGAACAATAATATTAACAATGGTTTATCACAAGCTTCCCTCTCCCATTTAAAATGTTTGAAGAAAAAAAATAACTCATATTTAAAAATCACTTATTATTATTTTTCAAGTGAGCACACCTGTACTTAACCATTGAGAGCACCACTTCACATTTGTGCTCTCAGATCAGCTCCCCTCCTCATTTCAAGACTTCTAGATATGCCACTGAATATTAATAACAGGTAATATAATGAGAATGAATCTTGAAGGGCCCCAGTCAGGGAGAGCTGGTCCCCCACCCATTGGGGAGAAAAAAAAAATGTATTTTGTACATATTAGTAGACTCTAACAACGATTAAGCAAGTCTTTGAAACGCCTAAATTGTCAAAATTGTGGGGGGATTTGCCCACTAGACCACTTTTGAGACATTTTAAGCGGCGCTCGACCATGCCCATTTTGCTCTCGTCGGGCGAATTCTGGCGCCACCCCTGCTGGCAGACAATTTCCAACCACATCAGCAGTGGCGTATCTAGAAGTCTTGAAATTGGGGGGGGGGGCCCTGATAAGGGAGCGTAAAACTCATGTAAGGCGCACAATGATTAGGTGAGGGGCACTGGCTCGCAAGATAAGGTAATTTTAGGTGATTTTTTAACTACTTGTGCATGAATTTATTTTTTTTGGTGGGGGGGGGGCTAGTATTTTTCAAAGGCGTGCCAATTACGCCACTCCTTATCAGGTGTCCAATTGGCTGCCAGCGAAAGCTTGTATACATCTTCAAAGTGCGAGAGTACTGCCTCAGCCTCATTGTCAACCGTTATTAATGATGAGGCAATCATCCTGATTAATAGGTAGGCCTACGCATTATGCTTATTGGTGAGATAAACTTACCTATTAATGTGTTGTACCAGACACAAAAAAAACCAATGAGAAATTTGAACAAGACTGCAAAGTTCAACACCAGGTCTGTAACCAAGGGATGTTTTGTTTACTACTGTTGTAGTATTTTTAACTTTCTTTATTGAAAGAAACACTTTGAGAAACAAATTTATATATAGAAAACCCCTCCCCATGAGCCTGGTTACGGACATTACGGGCCAGAACAATGTACAAGCTTTGCTCTTTTTTGGTCATAATTCCATTTTGTTTATAATTATATTTAAATCATTCTATGGAAAATAAAACACACTGTATTAATACACACTAATATAAATTTAAATATTCTATACCAACTTTATTGAAATAAACTTAATTTTTAAAATAAAGAACTCTTCACCAATATGATGAAATATTGATTCAATAGGAATAAATATTGCATCAATATGATGTATTGTTTAAATCTTATATTAATCATCTGACTGCTTTTGTTGAGCAATTCAGACGTTTAAATAATCTATTCTATAGTGATTTCATATATATCCTTTAAAATACCTGCCAGAAAACAATTTTCATAGCAAGAAATCATTGAAAAATGACTTTACTTTTATCATTGACTTAAACAGATGTTAATAACTGTGAGTAGCCAACACCGGGCAGCTGAGGAAGGAAGTTACAGTACGAGGTAGGTCATAATGCCTCGTCCGCTTTAAGACTTCAGTATAAAGCGGTATACAAATCTAAATACATTACATTACAATAAATAATAACGGATGGGTACCAGGTGGTATACCGTATAACCTACAGTAATTCTCAAATTATTAAATAAATTTGAATTCTAAAATTGATAAAAAGGCACATGTTTCTGGGACAAGAATCGTTACATTTTTCAGTAGAATTGCACTATATTGAATGAAGCATTGCCACAAGATGGCTTCCAAAATATCCAAATACTGTATATTAAGAATTTCCATGCCAAAATGGCACAAACTGAAAGACCTGTATAGAGATTAAACCAGGACCTCCCCCTCATCAAAAACCTGGTCACATTTTTAAAAGCCTTGCAATTCTATAAGGTTTTCGTACAAGTCCAAAGACTCAGGATTGCGAAAAGCGCCTCTGCTTTCAACTATCTCGCCAGCTATGATCTTCTTCACAGCAACTTCAACTTTCTTCCCACTTAAAGTGTACTGAAAAAAATAGACTAAAGTAAGATAAATTTCCTCTTTTTCTGTCCTATTCAAATTCACCTAATTTTTTTTTAAATTTTTTTTTTTATGTATGTTTTTGTTCTACTTTTTTGTTCATGTGATCCACTAGTGAGATCAGTGCTGCGTCACTGAAAGTGTTATCACGTTAAAGGCAGAATAAATAAAATATATAAATATGTGATGGTTATTCGAAGAGCCGAGCAAAAAAGTTCCAATGAAAACCTAATGTTCAGTGCAAGAGGCAAGAACACCCTCTCAGATAAAATAAAGATACAGTTAAGATATACCTGTACTGTCTTTGATAAGGTAATAAGCTACATATTAGGATTTGTATTTAGTTTTTATTATCATTTTGAAGCCCCATTCCCGGCAAGTCCCATTGTCCTTGGGCAAGGAACTTTTACTTGTATTTGCCTCTCTCCACCAAGGAGTATAAATGGGTACCTGGTAGGATGGTACGGCATTGAATGTATGGGTCGTGCGCGTTCAAGCAGCAGTGACCAGGGATACTCCCCAGGGAGCAGAGAAAGTTGCATAATGTGCGGATCTGCCAATTCAGCATCCTGCGACCAGGGAAATATTATAGTGCCAGCGTCTTTTATAATCGCTTGTAAAATCTGCAGATTGTGAAAGGCGCTATATATATTCAGATTCTAAAAAATAACATTTCCTTGGAATTATTTCAAATTTGATTTTCAAAAATGATTCTGACCAAGAATTTGACAATTAAACCAATATATCTCGGGCCTACGCGATCGCCCGCAGTGTGCGAGATGCACACTGCGGTCGATCATGCAGGCCTGAGATATGTTAGATGTACCAAAAACTAATCTCATTATAGGCCGCACTTTATTGAATGTATAAAGTATACACAAAAGCGAGAGTATTCCAGCGGATGCGATCTACAACCTCTGAATTTGCATAGTAACGAAGAATTTGTTGAGAAAATGGTAATCTTCTATGAGAAATAGTCTATTTCTCATTTTTTTTATCATTTTCTATAAATCTAAAATTTATCCCAATATTTTTCCATGGTTTATGATAATTAGAGTAATGCATATGCATTTTTTCTAAAAAAAAAATCCTTTTTTAGTGAAATTTTTTCAGGAATGGGGCTTTAAGAGAAATGAAATTTAATGAATAAAATTCAATACTTGAAATGCTATAGTCTGTTATAAACTTCACCTCATCCACTCCCCCACCCCATTTCAATACTCCTAGATACAAGACTGTAAATAAGATCACCGGTTCATGAACACCTATGGAGTGGAGTTGGATAGCTTAGTGGTTAAGATGCTTGCCTTCTAATCCCAGGGTTCTGGGTTCAACTCCTGTGACATCATGACTTTTTGTCACCGCTAAAAACAACTCCATTACCTAAGCCTCCTAAAGAGACTTTGGTGATAGAGCATCACATTATTTCATATATTTTAGAGGGTCCCTGAATATCAGTCGACCTTCTAGGATATGCTGGATGGGTCACTCTCTATAAATATGGTTTAAAATCTAAATATCTGACTATATACCAACCAGAACACTGCGGGTGTGTACGTTCCTTTGTATGCAAAAACTAAAAGGAAATTTGAGAATTGCGATAATTAATAGTCACCAAAGTCATTCACTGCATTCTACTAAATTTGAAACTAATCGGATTTTGCCAAATTTTAGTTATCGTGATATGGTAACAATTGACAAAGTTTCTGACCCACCGCCGTTGTCGTCGTCTTTTCTAATTTTAAACAAATTTAAATACTTGTACTCTTTATATCTACAGCAGAATCCACACATCGAAGAAGAATGAAGAACCATTAGGCGAGATCTTTTTTATACCTTGTTTAGAAAACCCACCGACTGCAAATATTGATGATTTCAAATAAAAATAAAATTTTATTTTTGGCAAATTTGTGCACCCACCGCCACAAAAAAGTGAAAATTTCAGAAAAAAAAGTTTTTCTTTATTTTTATTACACCCTCCGCTACCTTGAAATCTCCAAAGATAAAATATGTATATTTCTTCCTAATTATATATATAAATTTGAATCATTTAACCATCCCATTTTACATTCACAATTAAAATTTTATTTTTGTCTCCTCCGTCTGGATGATTTTGCCAAGACTATTTGCTAAATAAGAAAACTATATTTTAAAAAATTTTTTATTCCGCCCTCCTCCGACAAAATAAGTACGCGAAACAAGGAATAGAAAGTGTCTCGCCTTATGGTTGTTGTACACGCACACACTCGCTCCTAGGCCGGATGACAGAAAGCAGGTTTCCTGGACCTCATGAAGGCCTAGGCCTCCTCATCTAGGCCTGGATTTGCCTGTTTGAAAAACGCTTCAGATAGCGATACATTTTGCTGAATAGCACTTCCATCCGGGAAGACATTCCTATCTCTTATAACTTCTGTAGACTTTTGTTAATGATTTAAAGTAACAAAAACAGCATTTTTACCGACTGTCGCAGCAAAAATATACAGTTAGTGGTGCGCTTTATGATAAAAAAAAAAAAAATACAAGGAAAACAATCGTTATCGGTCATTTTTTGAACATTTCCGGGCCAAATTAGACAATTTTTGGCATATGAAAAAACAGAAGCATGTCAAAAACCAGGGTCGGGTGGTGATGCTAAACAAGTATATATATTTTTTTTGGGTCTTATTAACAAATTAACCACATAACCCTAGCTAGGCCAGGCCCATTACTTTCTCTCTGGTTGGGCCACCCAGCCTAGGCCTAGCGTCACAAAAGAAAGAACTGTCGACGTGTATGGGTTTTTGTCAATATTTTGTGGGCTATTATATTTAATTCATACTCATATTTAAATAGCACATACGATTGTGAAAACATATTGATTTAAATGTATGGTTTAATATACATAATAAACTTGTAATTAGTTTGAACATGGAGGTATACTGTCCTATGTCTACTGCTAACGTTCTCACGATAAAAACAAAATGTCGACATGCGCAAATCAAAATTTTCCCTAAAAAAACTCAAAAATGGTGGTAGGGGGTATATGTTTTATCGCATACGGCTTACATTTTTTATCTAACCAAAAAAAACTAACATTTCTTGCACAATTACATGTCCACCAATAAATATGGGACACACTGTATACTCGCCGTGAAGCACTGTTTAGGAGCCCATTTGTTTACAAACATACCAACATGTTGTGGCCATACATTTCACATACACATTTCACATCTGTATCATCCCAATAGTTCCACTGTGACCTAAGGTCTCAAAGGAACTAAAAATTAGGTCTGCTAAACTAAAACTTGAGAAATTTCTGGAGTATTGTGCCTTTATCCCTAGTATCAAGCTATCTAAGATTTTAATCGGAAAAAAGCTATTCAAAACTGGGGTTAAAAATGTAATAAATAATACAATATAATCTGCTAAAAAATTTACTAAACATATCTGACTATCTGACTTCTTGATCAAATTACAGCAAACTTTTGTGACCATGAAAGTCTAATAATACTCAATTAAATTCAATATTGATCTGCTACATATGCAATGTCATATATAATCTCCATTATATAAAAATAAAATATAAATAAAAAAAAATTGATATAATTCTTTTTATGTACAACAATCACAATTGCGAGATACAAAGGATGCATAGCTACACATGATGATGATGGTGGTGGTGATGTCGGCCGTGGCGTAGATGAGGACGATGATGGTGATGTTGATGATGGTAACAATGACTATGATGATGATGATGATGATAATGATGATGTAGATAATAGTGCAGATGATAAATACTATATCTGTGCACAGCATATACTTACGGGAATATCTTCAGTCTGAAGAATTATGGCGGGAATGTGTCGTGCTGATAATTCTTGTCTGATTTTACTCTTGACAGCCTTGACAATGAGGTCATTGAACTGGCAATTTTTGGCCATTTTTAGAAACAGAATCACTCTCTCTTCCTGATGACGGTTATACTGAGGCACACATAGGCTGTCATCTATCTCAATCATTGGCTCAACTGAAGTCAAATTCAAACAAAGAGTAACTACAAATTACATGATAGCACATTTGTTTTGAATTTAGATGTTTGTCAGAACCACCTAGATAACCACACCATTATGTACTGATGGGTCTTGCACCTTAAATTGCCGGTGAACGTTGTGGTGGTGATGATTTTTAATGTTCATGGTGGTCCTGGTTAGTTTTAGGTTGTGCTCTGATTTAGTTTTATATGTAACGCACATAAAAGCTCTGTCATAATACTCCATATGAATATATTAAATATTATTAAATATTATTATTATTATTATTATTATTATTATTATTATTATTATTATATTATTATTATTACTATTACTATTGAGAAACACAACTAGTTTTTTGATAAGAGAGTGAATCTTTAATGAGAATGGTGGTTGTGTCATGAAAATTTGTGTATGACCAATTTGAGTGGGATCAATGTGTGATGACAGCAATCGTGTATGGTATTTTAGGCATCTGACACAAAGAATTTGATTCCTTTTCTGCCAGCAAAACTAAATGTTTATGAAATGCAAAGTTGTTTTTTTTTGTACTTACTAACAGAGTATATATCAGAACTACCAAATCTCACACCATTTGGATTCAATGTTCCATCACTAAAAGAACAAAGCAATTTCTTAGCATTAGTAAGGATTTCCACAGTAATTTCAAAGATAAAATAATATGGCTTTACTATTTCTTAAAAGACATATTGTGCATGGCCTTATTACCTTCTTCCTTGCATGATGATGCCCCCGCTGATTGAATCAATTGTACAGAAATCTCCATGAGCCCAAACACCTACATTAACATAAAAATATGCATATCATATGAATGGATTGTGTTTATTGTCAAAGAAAGCAACAATAGCAGCAGCAGGAGTAGCAGTAATAACTACAACAGCAGCAGTGACAACAGCAGCAATGCCAAAAACAATTGTAGCAATGTTACACTTACAACAATATACACTTTACAAAAAAAAAAGTGACAGAACAGAGATATTTGAATAATTGATACCTTTAAACCATGCATCAAATTAACCATATTCGGGTAACTGTACTACAGTAGAAACCCCATTATGGGGACAACTTCGGGATCAACAGTGTCCCTTTGACAGGGGTGTCCCCTTAATAGGGTTGTCCCAAAGGAGGGGGTTCTACCAGTGGTGGATCGAGGAATTCGAAAGAGGAGGAAGGGGAAGGGAGGGACTTTCACAGATGAAGGGCCCCACCATGGTTGATGTTGTGGTAAGAACATTTATGATTATTATTATTAATATAATTTTCCTTTTCTCTCCATTTAAAAAAATTTAGGGGGTGCCTAGCCCACCTTCGACCAGCCCACCTTGAATCTGCCACTGTCTACTGTATTTAATTTCTTACGTTAAAGCTTACCCGGAAACTTAATGAAGTATGCCTTCTTGTACTTTATACAGTCCTCATCATTCCAGAAGTGAGTAGGCTGTGAAGGGAAAGGTTTAGTGCAGACCAACTCACCACTGCAATCAAGCAGAGGCTCCCCTAAATGTAACAAAAATACATAATCAATATGAATAATAATATCAATAGTCAACAATGAATCAAATTTGATCTTTTGTGTCATATTAATGTTTCAGGTTATGTGCATCTCCAATATGTATCAAGTAATATCAATATATTTGCCTGCCACTATTACAATAATAACTTACTACAGTAGAACCTCGTTTTTACATACGGTACGGGACCGGAGAGCGTACTTAAATCAGGGGATTTGTAAAATCAAGGTTGGGTTAAATCTGTGGTGACCTTTGACCTTTTAGTAGAAAAGAAACTATTTGTGCACCGATAGTAGTTGTTCATCTCACTCAGTCCACATGGTTTTAGATTATAACAGGGCGTTATAGACAAATGAGCGTTGCTGTTGGATTCTTTGCATATGCTTTGTTTATCGTTATGGTTTTGAAATACACTAAACAGACAGAAACTTACAAATTCCTTTTTGCATTATGGTGGCCCTGTAAAGGGACATATGTTTTGAGTATTTCTTTTTACTTTTGATAACATCATCGTCCATGTGAGGCGTACGTAAAACTGAGCGATCGTATAACTGAGTTATGCAAAAAATAAGTTCTACCGCATAAATCAATCATAATCATAATTATTGAAAAGACATACCACTATCACTCCAACTTTCAATAGCCATTCCAAGGTTCCGACTCTGCACTTGCCCTCGAATAACCGGTACAGCCCAGTTCTGACCAGCGAAGCAGGAGATGATATCTGTGCCGCCTGTATAAATAAACATACAGTAGATGATAATGACACTTAAGAGATGTGAAGAAGACTTAAATAAGTAGTTCCACCTCAGTTGATGTGAACACAGATGATGAGAACACTTCCTATTTAATGATGTTAAGAAGATAGAGGATTGCAACAGGACTCGGTGACCTTAGGAATAAATTTTATTTTCCTTATTTTATTTTCACATAAAAATATAAAATTGCAGACAATTCAATAAAACGTAAAAAAAAATTTAGTAATCAAATTTAAATATGGTAAATTATACCAGCTCTGAAATTGCGAATGTATGAGATTTCTTGATTTTACAATAGCAGATCCACCAAAATCGAAATAGAGAGGGCCCAGGGAGAGACATTCATAGAGGGAGGGTCTTGACCACATCAACCCCACCATCGTTGGCTGAGGCAAGACAGTTTATGATTATGGCCCCTCTAGATGGCCAGAAATAGAACTCTCTGACCAAAATTTAATTATAATTATCCTTTTTATTCTTAATTTTTTAAATAATTTTGAAAAATTTAGGGGAGGGGGGGCCGGGCTAGCTCAGCCTCCGCCCCTTGAATTCGCCACTGCCTTAGTACAAGAGATTAATTTAATTCCAGGTAAATTCTGATAGACTATGAAAGCATTCCATAATACATTTAAACTTGCCTAAGTCAACTGTGCCCAAGTCGAATAATTTCTAAGTCTATCTAATTTTACATGGCAAATTGTTGTTTTCCATCATATAACAATCTGCAAGTCAAATTTTCTCTTAGTCTAACAATATTTCAATAGCATTTTGGATTCGAATTAGGCAAGTTCAACTGTAACTTATCACATACCTGTTATTGATCCAAGTAGAAGGTTTTTTTTCACATGTTCATATACATAATCATAACAGACAGGGTTCAAAGGTGAACCAGTAGATAAGATGGTATGCAAGGTTCTCAAACTATGAGTCTCAGCTGGGTGGACCTCTTTATCTCGCAAAACCGACAACCACTTAGCCCCTGTTCCAAAGATGGAGATTCTGAAAACACAAAATCACTAGAAATTATGACACCGTTTCACTATTTTGAATGTGCAAAGCAGCATTCACAAACTACGGACACACAAGCGTTGCCCGGTAAAGCCGGGGACTCACTATGCCCGACGGTTGTTGGCCAGCATGATGCTATGGAGAATGCAACACCATGATGCGCATGCAATATATCGTTCTTAACGATCCATTCAGACTGCCACTGACAATCGGCAGAGGATGTCACGTTGTCTAACGCTCTAAGGGAGCAGCGTAGTGAGATTCCTCGGCCGATGGCCGTACAACCGTCGTATGACGCAGTAAGTGCCCGGCTTAAGAATAGTAGCCAGTTTTTTTTTCTCCAAATAGGAACTGTCAAATAGAAACACTGAATCTTCCTAAGCACATGCTAGTAAAACTTTTTACAGAATGTAAAATGCAGGATATAATCTGTTTAGCCACAGGCTGGATAATACATAATGCATGTTCAAATCTCAATGCAAGCAGCTGCACGATTTGACCAAGTTAAAGTTATTCTCCGTCTTGGTTAAAATTATCCAATGCGAAGTCTGTAAACTTTTTGGAAAACAGTGAACTACAACATTACCGAGTATTTACAGCACAAGGAGCTTGATATGTTTGTTGGCATATTGATACCTACCCAATTTGGTCGACAAGATCCCAGAGGACGTTAGCAGTTGGCAGCAGAGGGGAGCCATCGTAGAGGACAATGCTAGCACCAACAGCAAGACAACTTACTAGCCAATTCCACATCATCCAACCAGTCTACATCCAAACAAGAGATTCAATATTTATTGCTACAAAAGCCATCAATTGCCATTGTAAATTTAGTTTTGTGAAACAAAATTTAATACTACATATTGTAAAATAAATCCATATCAGTTATAATCATTGATGTGATAATGGCAATGACATTAATGATGGTGTTGAGAATACACAATAATAATGATGGTTGCAATAAATATTAGATGTGACAAGGCTCAATGAAAGTACTTACTGTGGTATAATATAACATTGTATCATCTCTTGTTGTGTTACCATGCAAAATATGCTCCTTAAGATGCTGAATTAAAGTACCCTGAGAATGAATAAAGTTACCAAGTTATACATTTATTGTATAATTTTTCAATAACTTATGTTACTATGCTAAAATATTTATCAGATTCAAATTCATTATTTTAACTTGTAATACCTATTCTAACATACAATTATAGTCAAGTTCTGAGGACCCTATAGAAAATAGAGCTCAAAGGAGCCATTATTTCCTAAAAAATGTATGCATGTGTGCATTAGCCGCGTAATATGAGAATGATTTACAAGTACTGTAGTAATCAAGCATATGAACCATGCATTTAGGCTCTCCTGATATAGAGGGGGTGATTGAATGGAAGTCACCATAATACTTACTCCAGCAGAGTGAACCATGCATTTAGGCTCTCCTGTAGTACCTGATGAATACATGATATAGAGGGGGTGATTGAATGGAAGTCACCATAATACTTACTCCAGCAGAGTGAACCATCCATTTAGGCTCTCCTGTAGCTGTCTCTTATACACATCTAGATGTGTATAAGAGACAGTCTCACTCAGTCCACATGGTTTTAGATTATAACAGGGCGTTATAGACAAATGAGCGTTGCTGTTGGATTCTTTGCATATGCTTTGTTTATCGTTATGGTTTTGAAATACACTAAACAGACAGAAACTTACAAATTCCTTTTTGCATTATGGTGGCCCTGTAAAGGGACATATGTTTTGAGTAGTTAGACATGATAGATTTTATAACATGTTGTAAATCTTTACATTTCACTCAGTCCCATATCATTCACACATACCGTCACACCAAAATCAGGTGACGTTGAGCTCCATACTGCTCCTATACTAGCTGCAGCCAACATGGCTTCCACTGCTGCAGGGCAGTTGGATATGTAACCTGCAAGAAATCATAAATCAATGCATTTATATTTTTTCCAAAAATAATATAGCCTTATTCCTTAACGGAGGTCCAAAATTTTCCGACTTTTTCCTCCCTGAATCCTCCGGAGAAGCCGTCAATGGTCAGAATTTATATACAAGGCGCTGGCGTCATTATTTCCCTGATCACTGAATACCGAGTTGGCAGATCCTCCCATTGTGCAACTTTCTCTGCTCCCTGGGGAGTATCCCATACATTCAATGCATACCAATGCCATACCATCCTACCGGGTACCCATTTATACTCCTGGGTAGAGAGGGGTAAACGGTAAGTAAAGTGCCTTGCACAAGGACACAAGCAATGCGACGAGCGTGGGTCTCGAAACCCTGATCAGAAGTCCAACACCTTACACACCGCGCCAAATGCTCATTATCAGCAACCCTTACATAATTATGTAAGGGGGGGGGGGGGTGAGCTTATATCAGAGGAACTATAGTACTTGTTTACTTGATAGTAGAGACCCTCAGATATGGGCTCTCATCTCAGTTCATAATAATATAGAGTACACTAATTGTATTACAACAACTAAACAACATTAACAACAGTAAAAAAAAAGGTATTTTTTTTTTGTATATGCTATCTGCACTTATATCTCTTTAATTCTCCAATTAGAAAGCATTGGTTTATTTTCTCATGTTCTTGTAAAATATGTAATTAATTAATAAATTGATAAACCATTTGTTAATTACTGATAATTTTATGTAATTATGGCTATCATGGCCATTTAAGATGATATGCTAGCATTTCATCAGTAAATTAAATTTATTACAATGAGAAGGATAAAAGTTTGTCTGCTAAAGCTGTGAAATGCAACACACTATGTAATATCAAGCAGAATTTATATACAGTAGGCTTAATCTGTGATATAAAGTTGAACTGAAATACAGTAAGTTGACTACTGTAGTTATAATCAATAAAGTCATTGTAATACAATCCAATAATGGGGTCGTATTGTGAACGTCACACTTCCAACAGCATTGCAAGCCAGGCATTTAACAAACATAATTATATAAATAAAAAACATGTTCTCTGTTAAATGAACCAATTTTACAATACAAATATTATTCCTGCTATAATAATGAAATAAATGATTTGTTCGTTATTCAAAATACCCTGAAAATGAATAAATGTTATTATTATTAAATATAATTAGTAATGAATTAATAATTATTCATCTCTATTCATCGAGTTACTTATGTATTTTTATATAATACTAACAAGAATAATTGATATTATTTAGATTTAATAAATATATATTCCATCAAAAGCAATGAAAAAGCATTAGAAAGTAAATTTTACATAAACTGCAAATTCTACATAATGACTATTTTTTTCACTACAGTTCTTTTTCATTTTTAAAAATTTTTTGAGGGGGAAGGGAGTCAGACCAACTTGGTTCCCCCTTGAATCTGTCGGTGTTCAGTTAAAGCATGAATAAGTAAACTTCTGTTTACCTACAACTCGGTCCCCTTTCTTGATGCCCATCTTTTTCATAGCTGCAGCATATTTTGTTACGTTTGTTCGGAGCTGCTTGAAAGTTAATTGCTCCACATCTCTTCTTTCACCTTAGAAAACAAAAAACATACAGTTGAACTTGCCATAGTTGAATCCAAATTTCCATTGAAAAATTATTTGACTTGAAAAAAAAAAAAAAAAATTTCGACTTACCGATTGTTAATTAATGGAAACCACAACAATTTGGCTTGTAATATAAAGGATCGACTTAGAAAGTATTCGAGTTAGACAAAGTTAGTTTAACTGTAAATACTTTCATCAAGGTTGTTATCATATTTAATATTCTTAATATTTGAATTATCTTGTCCTATGCTTAGCTTAATAGACATGCATTGGTTGGAGGAGAGGTGTACATCGGTGGTTGGTTCTAACTAAGCAACCATGCCAAAACTGATAAATACAATTACATGAGGAGCAGGATTATCTCAGTACAATAACATTATGTCCAGACTATCAAATTTTCTTTGACAAAAAAACTCTTGTATGCCCATATATAGTCATGCTGTGCCTATATATGGTCATTTCATTTCAGTTTATTCAGTTCATTCAGAGAGATAAAACCGAAACAATACAAAAGTGCAGAACCAGATAAAGAGTACAAAGAACAATATCAACTGAATGAACTGAGGAATATACCCAAGAAAGTTTACGAGTAAACGTATTTCCATTGGGGTCCTCAAGACGGAAAGAAAACATTGAAAATTGCACTAACCCTAACCACTAAAAATAGCAAATATTACCAAAAGTCAATTACATTAAAAAGGCACATTTAAAAAGAAAGTCAAACAAATGAAAGAACGCAGCACATTCAAGAAATATTAAGAAATAGCAGTAAAATTTACAATTTAGAAATAAATTAAAATTATCAAAAACGCTTTATTAGATAATTCAGTAATTATAAAAAATAGATATAATTTAAACAATTAGGATTACAGTTCTTTAATTTACAGGGTAAAAAAAAACAATTATTAAAATTTTTTTTATATGCAAACAACATTATTTAGAAAAAATTATTTTGAAGTTATTATATTATAATATCAAAAATATTTTAATTTAATGGTTATTTAAAAATATTAATACACAAAAGCAGGATTAGTTCAGTAGAATAACATTCTGTCCAGACTATCAAATTTTCTTTGACAAAAAACTCTTGTATGCCCATATATAGTCATGCTGTGCCTATATATGGTCATGATGTGATGTCATCATGACCATATATAGACATGTCACATGTTTTGTCAAATAAAATGTGATGGTCTGGACTGGGGTATACACTGGTGGTATCCCCTATGTAAGAACTGAACTTGGATGAATTCCGTAGATACACCTCTTCATGTTTATACCATACACAACAAATATTTATCATTTTATTAAAAAGTATCGACTGCTATGAATGAGAGTACCTGCAGTATATATAGCAACGCGGTCATCATCGTAACGCAGCAAATTCTCAGCAAAGTTTAATAGAGCACCCTCAAACCATGTTGGCACATCATCAACACCCTTTGTTACATCGACTACCTGCAAACATTAAAAAAAAATATATACACATCTGATCATGCTGTATATTGTTCATTCTATATTTCAAATTTATCAAAGGTATTTGATTGGGAAGGGATATGTGTACGAGGGATACTTTAAAAGAAAAGAATTTATGAATTTATAATCACACTTCCCTATATGGACTTATTGGAGGTGTAGAATAGTAGTACTTGAAGAAGCAACTGCCTCTTGTTAAGCGTCTATTTCATTATACACAAGTATTAGGTTTCATACAGTGTGGCTGTAATTGTATGGAAGGGGTGGGTTTATATGGGGAGTTTAGATGGGGGGTTTAGAGATGGTAGTGAGTAGTGGTGCGTAGGGGAAGGGAGTAGTAGGAGAATGATTTTACATATACCTAGTATGCACTATTAGTCTCCAATGAAGCACAGTCTATTATGCCAACAATTATGACAAGGGCCAAGTTAGCAGACTGAATCAATTTGAAGGTCGAATGATCATGAAATTCTTTAAACAATCTAGGATCTAAAAGGGGGTGTAGCCACTCCTAAATTAAAAAAGAATGTTGGCAATGTAATTATAGTTAAAGCCATTATTATTGCATCATTGCATGCTACGTAGTGCGCAACGATGCAATAATAGTGGCTTTAACTATAATTATATTGTGTAGGCCTATTTCTAAACTATTTTACCCAACTTATTACTAATAGCTGCCTGTAAACATTGAATCTGACAGGTTTATAATTTACATGATATTTTCTGCAATACTTATTCCGATTTGTTTAATTACTAAATACATAGATATTATTATGTAGGGCATAAGTCTAGGAGTCAAAAACAGAATACAAAAACTTTTTAAGGTTTAAGAAATCAAGACTTAAGCCTATCGAAAAATGTTATTTTAGGCTTGTTCTAAAGGGCCAGATAACATACACCCATGGGCCGGAAATGGCCAGCAGGCCGGTAGTTCACAACCCCTAGACTATATAAACAGGAATCACCCCTGGAAATGACTCAACTATAGTGTCATTACTAATTACATCTTTGAGATATTTGTCTAAAAACAAAAAAGTATCAAAAGACTGGTAATTAAACATTATACTTTAACAATTAAATTATAAGTTTTAAAAGTAGTTAAAAGTTTATGTTAACATTAGTGTATAGATTATTATAGAAGAAATACATTTAAGAGGTAAAACAATTTGATAGATCCTATAGACAAATATAAATATAATATTGAGGAAAAGAATGATAAAAATGTGATATACATACACATATATATACACACATATAAATACAGTAGCCTATATTATAATATGAATATATTATATATAAACACCATATATAGATTTGAATAATTGGTGTTTGTTCTCACCTGGTCGTAGGACTTGGAACACTTTATGTCAACAAACTCCCAACATTCCTTCCAAAATTCACAGTAATTCTTCACAGACCATTGGTACAGGTCATCGTAGGAGGCTACAACACGAATAAAAATAATATACAAATACAAAAAGTACAAATGAAATATGGAAAACAATAAAAACAACAAAATATTTGAAAATGGAAGAAAAAAAAAAACAAAAACCCCTCAAAATTAACTAATTCCTCCCCACCCCTTTATATAATCTGAAACTTCAAATAATTATTTTAAAATAAATCTTGGTAAGGGGATTGGATTTTAAAAACTGAAAGATCCACTGATTAATCTCAAATTAATTCAAAATATTGAATTCCCACACGATGTATATTATCTTATTTAGATTTTGGAATTATGGATAAAATATACAAAATTATTTATTTTACATTTACATATTAAATACACATAACCACATATTATTTCAACTTTACTATTTTAGTTCTCTGACTGAGCAAGTTGATATGCATGCTTCATAGACCAAATACCAGCAACATTGTATAAATATCACTGAACCATTCAGAGGGTTTGTAATGGGTGTGTACAGAATGGAACAATTTGATTGGCTGAATCATTGTTGACAATCTCTTATCCTTTGTATCATATTATAATGGCTTGTGTAGCCTGCCACATCATCGACCAAATACCAGCAGTGCAAAATATTCTTAATCTTTGTGTTTTAATTCATAGTGTATTTTATTCTTTCTGATATTATAGTTGTTTTGTAAATATGTGTCATCCAATTTTAATTTAATAATAAAATGTTACAATATGATGGTTTTAATTCTAAATTTATGACTAGTATTTCATCATCAGTGAAATAAAAACATTGATGCGAGAGTGCACATAAATGGTATTTTATAACATCCATTTTTCTCATCCAGAGAAAGTCAAGGAGGACTGGTTATGCAGAGTATGTTGTAGGAGGATAAGAAAATACTTGTTGATTCATTAAAGTTGAAACATTAATTTTCATTATTAAAACAGTTTTTATTAAATTAATTTACAAGAAATAAGTAAAAATCAAAATAAATATACTTGAAAATAAAAGAAATAGGCCTACTATGTTATTATTATATTTTATACAAATAATAGGCCTATTATTATATATTTTATACATTTAGTCAGGAAAAAAGAAACATTCAATTACTTTTTGTCCTGTGAAGTTATTAATGATAATTTTGCACAAGGCTCTAGTGCAGAATTTTTTAAAATTTTCAATTGTGTCAGTCTACAGTACACATACTAACAATCATATGGTTTTATTACTGAATTGAATTATTGATATGTAATGACAAAATGCTGGTATCATTCACAATTTGTGGATTATCAAGGGCATTGCAACTTGCTTGTTTAAAACACTTCACAATGCTTCATTTAAATTTCAAATTAAGGGTCTACACATTTCTGATTTTCTTAGTCTTTTCAGTATGCTTAATTTGCAGAAGATAAATATAGGTAAGAAATCAGTGCAGGTCAACATGGAGAAAATATTAATAGCAATTCAATTCATTTATTGTCAAATACAAATTAGAGTACAGTACTATATTGTTAAACACAAACTTAGAAAGCTGTTATTGTTATGTCAACTGTGTGTGCGAAGGTTAGTCAGTGTAAAAATACTAATTTTAAGGGTTATATTCCCCCATAGTGAAAAGATTTTATTATAGCTATATTATTAATAGACACTAATAATGCTTATAGTTTATTGTTTGGCATTGCTACTGTAATAATCTCATTAGCATATACAGTGAAGTAGACAAGAGCATACCATACAGTACTATTGATTGCATACCTGAATAGATAGGTCCATAGGTCCATGGATAGTCTGTTAGTTAATAATCAGTGATGCCTGTATATTAATAGATTGGCATTATATTTATGCTTAAATAGACTGGTCAAGGGTAGACTCATTACAAGTTGTACTATCTGCTATGAGTTTAGACTAAATCTTTACATCTGAGGTATTATATGTATTAAAATCTTTCCCAACCATGATGGGGCTGAGGTGTGTCTGCCCATTTGTGAAAAACAGAAGCCTTCCTACAGGCTTATACATTATTCTTTTCTCATTTTACAACAGACGTAGTAAGAATAGCCAATTGTGCTCAAGCCTATCTCTTGAATTGGAAACTTGAGTAGCATCAACAAAAGAGGAAGACGGTTATTTATAGCTTTTCAAGCATTAGTTTATTTCATTATATTGTTTATTATATTTAAAATCTTATTTCTATGAGGGAGAAAAAAACCATATCTTTGTAAACATACTTGGAGTATGTATACTATCTTATTTAGATTGGATTTTGGTATTATGGATAAAATATACAAAATTATTTATTTTACATTTACATATTAAATACACATAACCATATATTAATTCAACTTTACTATTTTAGTTCTCAGACTGAGCAAGTTGATATGCATGCTTCATAGACCAAATACCAGCAACATTGTATAAATATCACTGAACAATTCAGAGGGTTTGTAATGGGTGTGTACGGAATGGAACAATTTGATTGGCTGAATAATTGTTGACAATTTCTTATCCTTTTCCTAGCCTGCCACATCATCGACCAAATACCAGCAGTGCAAAATATTCTTAATCTTTGTGTATTAATTCATAGTGTATTTTATTCTTTCTGATATTATAGTTGTTTTGCAAATATGTGTCATCCAACTTTCCATTTCACCCTGAAACAAGACACTTAAAAAAAAAAACAACTTTGTTTTGCCTTAAAAAACAACTATTGCATCCACAAAAACATCAGAAAACACAAATAAAAAAATGGCAAAAGCAACCTCCAAATAATTTTACCCCATGGGGATGTTACAGTATGATGGAGGTCTGCAATACTGTGATCAATATTAGATGTTGGTTAGGATACAGTAGCTGGTAGTGTGCAAGTTGCTGGTACAAATACATGCTTCATGCAAGTATATATTATGGTCAAAACAGAGTTGCAATTTCAATGATCAAATCTTGTAATTATTAAACAGAATATCAACCAAGAATTAAATTTATATGAACTTATAGACAAAGATGGACTGAAATCGTCAGTGTTACAATTGGCAATAACGTCAAGAAAGGGGGACAGACAGGGAGAGTAGCCTTGAGAGGGGAGTTATTAGGCCTTGTGTAGAAGCCTAAACCACTATGGAAAAAATATTATGAGTTAAAATGTCATCCATTTTGGACAATTCCAATAACAGGTAAATGGGGCATAAATTTTTCTCTGGGCATTTCCCTTACAGCCCCATACTTCATTATTAACAACATTCACTCGACCTCACTGGGGCCTTCTGCGGGGGCCCCCTTGATTCTGCACATGGCTTGAGTCACTATAGAAAAAAATTATATGCCTAGGGCCTATATGCCCTAATATAACCAAAATTTATTCCATAAACGACAACTAATCATTTAAAATCTAGCTAGGTATACAGTATACAATAATTGATAAAGCCACAGATTCTGGGGCATTTCCCAGACCCCAATATTAAATTCCTGGACAAGCATCCCCCCAACTCCACCAATTGCATTCCCCATCAATACCCCCTTTTTAAACTATTACTTAGCCTAGCTAGATACAATTCTGAAAACTCAAAGTTACTGATGAGACCATTATCACCAGGCTAGGCAGGCTTAGTAGGCAGGCCCAAAAAAGGCCCCGGGGGCCAGGCTGAGCTGAGCCAGACAGGGTCCAGGGATGCTACGTTCGTATGATGTGGAGCGGTCAGTGAGTGGAACTTCAATACAATATCTCCTCCTTCACCTAGTAGTAACCAGCCTAAAGTAGTAGTACTAGTAGCCATGCAGAAAATGGAAATAGCCTAACAAGAAACATGTCACTGGTTGTGGCATGCAAGGATAATCAGCTGAGGTGGTATGATGATTCGATACATGCTGTCTTGCTACTCTAACTAAATATTATGTATTGTTTGTAAGCTTACTGAGATTCAGCCCATATCTTTGGTTGACACGGATACGAAATTGACCCATCTTTGTCTTATCTTCGGAGGAAGGTTGCCACATGACATCATGACTCCTGCAGCTGCCGTTTGAAGCCATTATTTTGTCTACTACTAACTAAGGAGTTCTTCTTCTCAGGACTGACAACGATGGTTTCGCTGGGGAACTCTCTCAATGAAAGGATAGCCTTTGGTAGTAGCAAAGATACTAGAAATACAAGATAGAGTTCTCCACACAAAAAAAGTGTTCCACTGTGTTCCACCGAAATGCATGGTGGGAATACGAAAAATGGGACGCCCCCTACAGTTGGATCTAAAGGGCGCCCTGTACGTTGGGCACGAAGTATAGGAAACTTGAATGGTTAAAAAGAAGGGCGCCGCCTACGTTGGGCACGACTTCCGCCTCATTTTTACAATGCGAGAACTCTATCTTGTATTTCTAGTATCTTTGGTAGTAGTCACCTAGCTCACTTTTATTGTACTCTCACTGCTCATCTGCTCCTCGATAAACTAGTTTTACTATAGAGGGCGCTACGCAACTCTAATTTAGCGCAACACAATGCCAGATTTTAAAATGTAGTATGCAAAAAAAAATGGCCTAACAATAAAGTGTATATAAAACCTAAAAATGGGCAATTTATCTAGGTAAACATATTCCGAGGTGCAAAGTAAATAAAAAAACAGAACTTTAATATGGAAAATCATATAAACCAGCGTACAAAAAGTTAAGTAGGGTATTTAATGATTAAAAAGGGAAAAAAAATCAGACGTGTTCAGTAATCTCAAGAACAGATTCAGAGATGGTCCTGTCCCGGGTACAATTCTTGTCCTACATTTATAGCATTACTCCTTATTACCAGTGGTGGCGCCAGAATCCGAAATCTGGGGGAGTAAGTGAGGGGAAAGTAAAATTTTAGTAGGGAAAAATTTTTCCCATAGCAGACCAGAGGTACAATTATAATGTATCACAACACATATCGACGGGCAACGCTTCTATCCTGCTTGTTTTTTTATTTAAAAGCTCGCAGTATAATTATTACAAAATGTAAAAATATGTTAAAGCAGTGCATCATTTTTAAATGGCTAGTGACCTTGAAATGACAGACCGATGGGAGCAATTAATTTTGTTGGCCAATCTTTACAATGCTCATTTTTCCAGCAAAACTGAGGGAGGGGAAATCTGGGTGCCCCATTTGCCCTCCCCTAGAGCTGCCACTACTTATCAACAAGCAAACACTTTGCAATATTTTATGATAGGTTGTCAGAATAAAATGCAATGTATTCATCATCAATCAATAAATTACATTATGAATACGTATTTATGGTTCTAAAAAAATAACTCTTGAAATACCAACGTGGTGGTGGGAACTGGTAACCCCAAAATGGACCTTTCCAGAGTGGCAATCAAACTTGACAATTGACCAATCAGAAACAGTGCCAGAAATACGCGCGCCCAAAAAGCACACGTGTTGTCCCACAAAGGCACGTGTTCGCATAACGTCCAACACTGTCGTCTTGTGGGACTCCCTTAGCAACAATATGTATGGGGTGGGGCATAGTGGAAAGTTTCATTATAATCTAGTGTGTGATAGTTTGCCCATTGAAAAGATTGCTTTGGTAAGCTTTGGGGAAAAACCATTCCCATGTATACTTTGTGGCAAGGGAAAATTCAAATTTAAGAGTAAGACTTAACTTTCGAATAATGAAATGCTAACATTGAAGAATTTAAACTGGACAAAAATGAAATAAAACAACAATTGATAACAAATCTACTTTATTCCCACTTTTGAGGATTACAGCACATATAAAGTAAACAGAAGCACACAATATAGACAATATCACGGGTGGTTTCAGGGGAGGAAAGGCCCCTGTCGGATAGACCTGCCTCCCTCACATCCACATCCACCATTGAGAAAAACCACAAATTGTGGGGAGGGAAAAAAAATCTATATAATAGTTTATAAGACTCTAAAATTGATTAAATAATCACTTAAAATCCCTGAACTGTTAGATTTCTGAGCTACAGTATGCCCCTTCCCCCTCCCTCTTCCAGTGGTTCTGGGCACCCCCTGGCTATGCCCACATTTGATCTCATCATAGACCTGGGCCCACATGGTTAACATTGGACCCCTAATCAATGAACCATTATCCTCTGATTTCTCAATGAAAACTATTTAGATTGCAATACTGAAAATAAATGAGATACTGTACTAAAAAAAAAAAAGTTACATTTGATGGAATAAATTTACAACATACAGTCAGTTAAAAAGGAGGAACTGATTTGAGCCAATCAACTGACATAAAGACTATTTGACAATCATTAATTTGATCTTTTATGTATTTAAAACTAATTCAGCCACACCCAAATCATCATCTCATGGAATTATATAAATGGTTGCACTGAAGCTCCATAATATTGTAGCCCTAATGAAACAAATCACTTTCAACTTGACAAACGTTTGACCTCATCAATACTAATACCTTGTAAGATACAGTATTGCGATTACATAAACTTTCATAGTATTGTAATCTACATACTGTAATAGCAACTACTGTACAATATGAAAAATAAACCAATAGATATCAAAATGTTACCTGTCGCCCTCTATAGATGGTTACACACTAAAAACCAAAAGACACTGGACAGTGGCTGAGAAAAGTCACATCAAATAAAAAACAATGGTTCAAGTTTCTTTTATACAGATTTATTCTAATAGATTTAAAATGTTAAAATAATTGTAATAAAGGTTTATTTTTTTTAATTCAAAATTGAAAGCGAATACAGAATAGTAAATGAATATGTTAACCGGATAAATTCCATACAATTGCCGAGTCCAGGAATAGTTACTACAGTATAACTATACTGCTTTTTTGGAAGAGAAATTTTGGTAGTGTTTATAAACTAAATTTGTGTCACAAAATGAGGATATGGTCACAATGTATCAAGTTTTTACTAATTATTAAACTTTAATATGGTATTGGGTTAATTGGTTTCATTATTATTATGCATAAGAGCAACACACAAATGCCACACATTGCTAACTCGTTTCATTTAATTTTTTCAAAAATATTAACTTGCATCTTTTTCCATGTTTTGTGGACATACATTACACTTTGTTAATTAGACTCGAAATTTTGTTGTACCCAGGAACAATCTGTCAGAATTTTGGACCTGTTCTGTACTACAGGTCTATTCTATGGTGTTGTGGCCAACCCCCACTTCATGGATTTTGGCTAGTGACAGTAATTACTGGATTAAAATCCATGCTTTGGGAATTGAATAAGTAAATTAATGGGTGGAAAATGTTCTTTCAATATGAAATGTACAGTTGAACTTCTAAAATGGCATTGAAAAATTGTTCGACTTGTATAAAATTTGACTTGGAGATTGTTAATTAATGGAAACAACAATTTGGCATGTAAAATTAGACTGATTTTGGAATTCAGACGAAGTCGACTTCGGCAAGTTTAAACGTAATTGTTTTGACTAACTCCTTTATACACCCAATTAAGTTTGGATTTATAAAGGAATTAACAATAAATTCAGAAAAAAGTAGGGAGACTGGAACCATGGATGTACTAACCAATGACCACTTATTATACAGATACAGATTCATGTTAATAAATTCATATATGTAAAAAAAAATGAGTATAAGCACATACAAAAAGCTATATAATTAACTATCAAATTTATACAACTTACTTCATTATGTTGTTATAAAAACAAGAAAAATTTCTTAATTTCTTAGTTACTTACGCTTTGTTTTCAACTTTTATATTTCCATTAAATATAATCTGAACTGAAAACACATTCTTCCCCTAAAAACTTTAATATACTACTGTATGGTAATGTATAAAGTAAGATATACTGTAGCATGGACGAATACTTATTCCTCCATTAATAGAGTGGCACAAAAATAAATCAGCAATAACATAATAAAATTAATACATAAACTTAACTTTATAGTACCTTCAATAACCTTGATAATAGTACACACAATCATCAAAAAATGGTAAATTTAGAACTGGCCATTTTTTGTTATTATCTAGGCTATTCATATTATTTTACAATTTTATATCTCTTAAAACAAAATTTTTATACAGAATTACGGTACCTACAAGAGTTCCAGAACAAAATATATACTCACTGGCTTACTCCTAATATTTATACATATTAAATTATTTTGGCATTTAAAGAACATAAACATATAAAAGCTCATTAATAACATTGCCAATGATAACAATTATTAAAGTAATAAAAACAAAATAAAATAATAATAAAATCAGAAAATATAGCAAAAATAAGATAAGGGTTTGGATCCAGAATTTGAAAATAAATCAGGGAATTCCTGGGGAGGTGATGGTTGGGAGGGGGGGGGGAGAGAGGAGATTTGCAGTTTCAAAATCTTTTTAGAAAACTTGAAGGGTAAACAAAAATTACACGGCACATTCAATAGATCTCAAATTTGTTGTCAAAAATAGCAGAATAATAAAATCAAGAAAATGAACCAGGAGACAAAAAGGAACCCTTATGAATAACAAAGGGCGGTGGGGAGGGGTGGGGTTAGCAAAATGTCCAGATAATTTCAATCGTCTCCACCTATGGGGGATGGGAAAAGAAATGCCTTTCATGCAGCTAACTAAGCACCAGACCAATACTTTATTGCTGGTGAGGGGAATAGGTGGGAGAAGGAAAATGTTTTGCCTCCAAATCCAATATTGAAAAATTGTTCACAATCAACTGCATACAAAAATAGATATCTTCTATAGCCATTTCTACTGTACAATTACAACTGTAGGCCTTGAAGAAAAGAATACACAGACATGTTACAATTGCTTGCTAATACTGTAATATACACAGATACTACATACTGTACATTGAGTTGTTAAATACTACATCAAAGTTATAATTCTTTAAACTGTTAATAAATCCAATACAATATTAAGCCATAAAACATACACAAATAAGACAAATTTTAATTGAGAGCATTTTTATAGTTTAATTACGGTGGCTGTAAGTGTCAGAAAATTCAGAATTTACTTCTGAACATTATTGAAAGGACAACTGTGATTTGTCATGACAAAAACAGTCTTGTGGTATAAAAAATAAAAAATGAGTTATTGATATATTTACAGTATATACTGTAGATGACTACATAGGCTTTATTTAGGTCTTTCATCAGGTTCCTAGCTAAGTACAACTAAATTAATATCATTTTCAAATTCAGAAGTCTGAAAACATACTTTAGACAAAATTGCCACTAAAAATAAACAAATACAGTATACTGTAGTAATAAATTTTGTGTTGGTTTTCCTATCAATAATCAGAAAAAGAGTTTTACAAAATGTGTCTCAAAAACACTTTCAACTAAATTTAAATCAACCCCAAACATTTGTTATTGTGAAACACTGAAACCCAATATTTGTAAAAATATCAATTCATGTATATTTTCTTGAATATCTCAAATTGTGTATACTGCAAAACTCATTTTGTCACGACATGTCACAATTATTCTGGACATTAAAACTGGAAAGAGCTCTCATGAATTTTTTTTCTACCCTGATACTAATCAGAAGAAACTAAATAGAGGATTGACATGCAATTGGCTTTTCATCATATTAAAAAAATGTCCAATATATTAAAATGTTAAAATTGTGAAATTTTTTTTATACAAAATAGGATTTTTTTTTTTACATAAATACTTTCAATATCAAATGAATTTATGTTTTTACCCTTGTGCATACATATCATATGCATCACTTGATATTCTTTGTATATTTTTATGCATTACATTATACAGTATTAAAGTAAAATGTAAAAAGAATATAGAACACATTGCAGAAAATGATATAATTACCAGGATAAACAAAATATATAAGATACAAGTTAGTTTATGAAGCTACTGTGTACTATAGTCTAGTAATTATACAATTAAAATAACACTTTCACGACTCGTTGAGATATTTATCTCAAACTTAATAAACACTGTGAAATTTGGGCTGGGTCCACACCACCCGACTTAATCTACAACACACAACGGATACTAGACATGGTCCTTAACTCGCCTAACTCCTCTGAAAGGGTTTATTCGAGGAGCTGAGCATTTATAAAAGACCCAAATTACTCAGTTGCAGAACTGGGTCTTCAACCCGGGCCCCGGCGTGTAAGAGGCAATCAGCCACTCTCAGATATATTCATTCATTCATGTACACAGACATTTTGTTGGCTACATGCTACTATTTTAAATATAACTACAAATTATTACTATTATTATTTTGATAATTTTTTTTCACTTATTCATTTCATCTGATTTGTATTATTACTTTTATTATAATCCTTGTGGACATACTGTACTTTATGCTTCTATTTCAAAAATATAATAAACTAGAATATTAATTTTATTGTAAAACTGGCAAGTTTTCTGTATCTACTCAACAAATCCATTCACTTATCTGAAAGTATTGCACTGTTTTCTTAGAAGAAATACAATCCTCTTGTTCCATGAAAATATATATTTTGGGGCAATCACTTTTAAATGATGGCAATGCAGGGATCCCAAGTTGGAAGAAACTACTCAAGGGAGATCTGGTGCACGGCTGGAAAAAGTGCGTGACTCCTCAACGGGCGGTCCGAGTCATTAACCATTACCCTGGAGTAATTTTTTTTTACACGTCACAATTTAATGCATACCGGTAATTAAATTTGATATTTATGCTTGCTCCAAACCACTAAATGTACTTTTATACTACTGTTTAGCTATAATAATAGTGTAAAGATAACATTTGGTGCTGGAGGCAATTTTCATGGTAATAGGCACAAAAATATTTTTTCCAGGGCTGATCTGGTGATTGAGCTTTTTTAACACATCTCACCAGGGAGGGATAAAGAATTTTTCAAATGGGGAGGGGGGTGAGGGGATTCAGGATAGATAAGCGAGTAGCGCCAAGTTCAATATACGCATTGAAATTTTAATATTTAGTAACAAAACCGGGGAACGTGCCCCCAAACCCCCACCGTCAGTGGCATAACACAAGGGCCCTGTGGTTTTTTGGGACTGGGGCCCCTTTTCGGACCTGGTCACCAATTCCATTATACCATAAATGTTTTTAACGACATTACGCAAATGCCAACCGTGCCCCCTTCTGGATCTGGGTCTGCTAACAATATTTTGCTGTACATTGCTGATACACATCTCCAGTTGAATTCCGGGGGATAGTCTATGATACAGTCGTAACCAGACTTAATAGCAACATAAGCATATATGAAAATAACCTAGGTTCCATCCAGGCCCTTCAACTTAACATGTAATAAACTTGCGGGAGATTAGTGTCCGGGAGATTTTGCTTTCTTGTGGTAGTGCGGAAGGCTATCTCAATATTGTAGTATTAGAAAGAAATATCAGGTTCCTGAGAAATATTGTTCTCATTTGATAGTGGTTCACACTTGCTGAACATCATCATACCCATATATGGGAAAAATCACAGTTACAGGTATTTGCTACATAAAATTTGATACTGTAGTATGGATAGAGCTTCACCTATTATTAACCTGTGTCCCAAGATTAGTCAACGACTTGTGGAATTAATGATGCGTGTGGAAGACATCTGTTATTGTATGTCATAAATACATGCAACAAAGGATTATGTGTGTACAGTGGCGGAGCTAACGGAAGTGGGGGGGGGGGGTACGCGGCAGAACGAAAGAAGGAAACTCCGCTTTTCAGTTGTCTCAGGCGATTGATTTTTGACAAACAATGACCTTTCAGAGGTCAAATTGCTGTCAAGAATATGAATTGGCTGCTTCGCAGCAAATAGGCCCAGGCCAAGCCAACACGTCTGGCACAATCAGAGAGTGCTATTTCTGGCCATCCAGAGGTTCCTATTCTTTAAAAAAAAATCTCATTTTGGAGGGGAACATCCTCTCAAACCCTTCACCAGCTCGGGCCGACGAACCCAAGTTCGTTTTTAAAAAACAGCTGGCTATGGCATTGTGAACAACCCAAAACTTTGTCCAATTATAACAGGTTCCAAATCCTTTGAACCGTAGGTCCTTGATTGCTAACCACGTCACTCCGGCTTCACTCCTCTCTTTCTCTTCTCCAATAATTTTCCTACAGTAATATTACTACAACATTATCACCTGCTTCAATACTGTACTTGCCAACAGAGGGCAGCATAATTCTTAAGACTCTTTCAATCATATTATATATCAAACATATTTCCATGGCTATGTTTATTTTAAATTGATGGAGTTTCTTCATTCCAAATGGTTTCTTGCAACCGGCATATTCCCTCTACGAAACTGAGGCCGTCGTATATCTTGCCTGCCTCTTGATGGTTTTGGTATTGGTTTTTTTGGAACAACATAATCGGGATCAACCGGCTCTTGTCCGATCACTTCTTTTAATTTTTCTTTGTACTTGGCTGCGTTCATGTGAATCTCTTTCGTATTGTCAAGCACAAACTGATCTGGATTGCCGTAATTTGGTGGGTTGGCGTAAGGATCGTACCCTAAAGTTCGCAGCATGGGGGCAATGCTGGCCATGTCGTGTATCACATCTGCTGGTACTTTTCCTACCCATGAAGTCAATGCATCTAAATTTACCGGTTTGATTACTTGATCAGTTGACCGTTCCTTCCTGAAAAAATTAAATGAATATTAGTAGTACATAATCTTTTGGATCCAACAAAGAGTGAAGTTCAAGCATGGATGTTAAGTTGATTGCATTCCAATCCACGGTACCGAGTTCAAATAGCAGAATTTTGTTCTCATTATTATTTATTACTATTATTATTATTCATATCATCTATAGCGGGTTTTCTTAGCAGACACATAGCACTTTCTTTCCTGGTCATTTGGTCCACATTAAGTTTTACTTCTGGTGATCAGCACAGAAGCGGGCAACCCCTCCAGGTACTATACTCCTGAGTGGAGACAAGTGCTAAGAACAAGTGCCTTGCTCAAGGACACAAGCAAAATGCACAGCGAGGGATTGAAACCCGACCTCAAGGTTGGGAAACCAATCCGTTCCCGTTGCAACAAACCACTTCCACTCATTAATAAAACAATCCACTCCCTCCAGTTCTCATTATGACTATAACTTGGCCTTGTTGGAGAACAGTTGATATCTACTCAACAAGGTACCAAGTATAAAAATGAAAATTGACATTTTAACTCTTAAATTGTAAGTTAGATTTTGTTAATTTTATTTGGTAAGAATATGTAGTAACGATTAACAAGAAGAAACTGAATTACTTTACTGCCATAACAAAAAAGACTCCCTCCTCATACAGCCATAAAAAACAAAAAATGGCAGCAGCAATGATAGACAAAAAATTAGAAATTAGCAAATGCATTTACTTACTTAGATAGTCTTATACCCCCCGGCATGCCAACATGCTTGTCATGATGTAGAACTGAATCATCAAAATCAATATCTAAGAAATGTAAAATCTTTCGTAGCCATTGTTCCGGATGTAAGACAAGCTGTTCGTAATACACTGGCAGACAGTAGCGTGAGCCTACGCTCATGCATTGATTGTGCATAGCCTCCACAGCTAAGTTCCATTTTTTTAGGCAGTCACGCCAGCTTGTTATGTCAAACCCAGAAATTGTCACTTTGCGTGAGATTATAGAGTTCACGGTAGCTCGACCGTCTCGTATCATAAATATATACTTGGCATTTGGAAACAAAGATTTCAGATACATCATTGACTTAAGCGTGAAGGGATCTTTATTGCAGAGCCTTGGTGCGGCATCACCATGTTTTGCGATAATTTCTAAAATAAATGCTCTCAACGCATCGTCAATGACAGCGTCAGTTAAACCCGCTTCTAATAGCCGTGTTTGTTCTTTCTTTGATTTCCGCCACTGAACGCGCATACCAAGAAGCCTCGGAACCAGACGAGTCTCTTCACCACAGCGTATTTCCGGATGCGCATCAAGCATTGCACGCATCAATGTGGTACCACTACGTGGCATACCGCCAATAAAAATCAATGGCATATCCTTATGGTATTCATATACCCTATTCTCGTCATCTTCAATTGTTTTCATTGATTCCTTAGGAACCATTTTGCCTTTGATATCAGGAACATCGCACATGTTCTGAGTGATCATAATTGTTACGACTGCAGTAAGTGCAACTGTCAACAAGGTTCGCATTCTGCTCTGACGAGCCATAATACCCTGTTCAATTTCAATAAACTAAAAGCAAATATGTTTCAATTAACTGTTCATTTTGTTAGATGAATGTAAAAGTGCAAAAAATCCACACAAACATCAGATAATCCTTTTTCTTGCAAAGCTGCAATGGGCTAAGTATCTCATAACCATCTTGTAATATTCTGTAGATCATTTATCCAAGACTGCGTCAGTTTTAGCTTCAATATCAAATGCATTAGGATTCTTCCAAATCAATGCAGCCACCTGAAATAAATAAAAAAAAAAAAAAAATTACTATGTGGTCTGGATCATTTAATACTCAATGCACATATAATACTGTTGCACAGTGACTGGTATATGAAGCTGGGATGGGAAGGAATGAATAATGAAGAACCATATGGCATCAGGGATTCAAATTCTGCAAAGTGTCATTTCATTCATTTTAAATAAATGAATCATTCTGGCTCGCTGTAGTGGGATACAGTACACATTCAGAGGGACAAGCCGGGCAGGCCTCTTGGTGTTGGTCCAGGGGAAAAGCCCTAGGTCCCTAACACCTAAAAGAACTGAGTAATTTTGTGTAATTACTAAGCTCTTCTGAAACAAAATTCTCATTTTTTTAAAAATCTGTGTCATGGCCAAGTGGGGCCTAGTCAGTCCGACAGACTTGAAACTCTCCGACCCCCACTGATGCCGCAATTCATCTAGCCCCAAAATTTACATAACATCCAGCTTTTAATTGATGAGCCACTATGCTGTTGGATATAAAGAGCATCTAAAAATAAGTCTGATTGATCTCAGAACATAACATTATTACAAAACTAACTATCCATAAAGTCAATTACAGAGATAAATGTTATTTAATCCTAGTCCAATTCAAATGCTGGCATTTAGAATGGCCATATAGCTGAAGGAAGGAATTCTGAAGCAAGCAAAACACGACATGAATGAATGTTATTAATGGGAGGTAAAATTGAAATTGATAATATTAGTACAGTATATGGTGGGTGGTTTTATCACCATAGGCATTTTTGTATTAATGACTGTGATGTTGGAGGTAAAATATAGAAAACTTGTGTAAATTAAATGTAATTATTAAATCCTTGATTTGCAAAAATTTAGAAAGATTAAGATTCAAACATTTAATACAACACAGAGACTCAAAGCAATATTTTTCGCTGTTTTCACAGACTAACATCTTACTATTAAAATCTTTGAAATTGATTATAGAGTCTGTACAAAAAAAGAATAATTATATGGCATTCTTTGGTGAATAAATTACTTACTGTACTTCTTTTTATATTTCCAATTAAATGCTAAACATTTTGCCTATATTAAAGCACTAAAACAGCAGGGAAAGATTTGAGGGAATGGAGGTGTACTACTAGGCTAGTTGCCATGGTGAATGACAAGATAATCTAGGCCCATTTAGGCATCTGCACACAATAGTTACATCTGAGGCCTTAACATTCAGTGTCTAAAAAAAAATTTACAACATATTTATCCTTTATACTGTTAGTAACTTGAATCAAAATTAAATCCACTGTAGCAACATATTTTTAAAATGCTGCTTAATTGAAAACAATTTTGTATTTTCAACAGAAAATGATGACTCTTGGTACAAAATTTAGTACTTGCATGATTTAATGTTTGTATGATTATAGCTTTCCCATGGATTGAAAAAACATGTCACACACAGAGTTTGGGCCTATTTTTAGATCCATTGTGCTGTGCTATTAAATTCCAGCTAGACCAAGTAGACTTTAAATCACCTGATAGAATTTGAATATTAAATAATTATCAAATTTATCCTTTTGAGAACCACATAACATTCTACAAGTTTATATTATAATATTGTAACTACCAAGAATCAATGATTTTCATTATGATTATAAATGATTATGATTATAATATTTTGTTCATGTTTGAAATAGTCACATAAGCAATGTACATTATATGTAATTATTACAGTACTATGCAGTAAACTAGAGTAATCTTTAAATAGAGTAAAATACTACCGTATAGAATTCCTTCACCCATTAAAATTAAAATTTTCCTAATGAACCTCTTCCTGAGGGGGTTAACAATGTAAATTGCTTATGCCTTATTGGCATAAGGGTGTATAACAATATTATTATTAGTATGGTTTCTATGACTTATTATTTGAATAATTCACTATTACAGTAAACATACAGTACCACAATATCTTTTAAAATATATAATATCCAAATTCAAAAAATGAAATGTTTGCATTATGTTCCACAATGGTTTCATTGTATATAAAGCCAAGTTAAAAAAAAAAAGAGTAGTTTCTCGTATTAATATTTTGAAAAAAAGGAGAATGACAGCACTTTTTTTTTTAACTCAGAGATGGCAAATCCAAGATGATCGATGGAAACAGCTCTACTACTGTATTTTCTCACTTTTACCAAGTAGACACATTGAAAGCAAATAAAAGAAGCACTAGACATGATTCATACCCTATTTATCCCCAACCACGAATGATTGAAAGAGGAATTTTACTGATGGAAGTTTTCATACATTTCGTAAAATAAAGGAAATAAAAAAAAAAAAAAATAAATAGTGAGCATAGAAAATGGATGGACGAGGGGATGGGAAACTCGTTATTCTTTTTTTATTTTGCCTTATGTAAACCCTAAATTTTCTATACTACTACTACAGTAGTATCATTTTCTAAAAATCGCAAGAACTAATAATTGAAACTAATCAAATCTTCAGATTTTGGAAATGTGGTCATCAACATTAAATAATAACAATATGTCATCTTGTAATACATGGTTACAGGATTATTCTATTAATATTAATACGCCAGAATACTAAGTGTTTGAACTGAATTCCAACTTGCTTGCTAAACTGCATAAATGATGACGATAGTATACAAGACAAATTTCATTAACTTTTAATTTATCACACAAGCAGGTAGTTTAATTATGTAAAATTGGCTAACCATATAGCCATATGCTACATCAATAATTTAGAGTATCTTTATATTATTCTATTCTGAATTAATCTATAAACTAAACATGTCAGTAAACATAGGAGAAAGCTCTCAGACCTAGAATTCTTCTAATAATACAGTTAATTAAGAGAAGTAAAGTACGTCATCCTTCAAATGCGGTCTAATCCATTAGCGGCAGTGCATTGAATATGACTTGAAAGCACTCTATTTGAGTTCCAGTGGTCATTAAACGTCTCCAATAGTTTTAAGAATTACACAAAGTTTCAAATTACATAATATGTTAATCATAATGTATACATATTTTTTTAAATCAACACTTAATTGTTCTCTCTCCACAATCAAATCACAACTATAAAAATGATTTGTATGTTACTACAAAATGAGCAAGTCAATTTAAAAATTATATTTTTATGATTTTGGTCATTTTCAAGGGACAGTACAGTACATCTTTAAAGTAAGATCAATATATAAAAATAAGTGACGAAATTCTTAGAAAAACATAATTTATATAATGATCATACAGTATAGTATATACACTGTAGTTGGTACATTTTCATTTACAATCTAGATCCAGATGTTATAACATTATGGTAAATTATTATACAATGTTACCTTGTACAAATACTGTAGTTGTAATGCACATAATTTACTGTACATGATTTTTTGAATTGTACAGTACACTGAAACAGTTGTGAAAAAAATTGATTGCAATTTTAATTATTGACTTGATAACAGACGGACGATCAAGGTCAAATCAACGCTTACCGACCTACTGACCCACATCACATCCTTTTTCATTATAAGATGACATATTGAGCACCAATCATTACTGTACTTGATACTTGCACTATAGAAATTACAAGAATTTAAGCAATTCATTACATTTTCTCCTATATTTCATGCTTAGCATTCATAATTCCACCTTTATTTTTATGCTTTACAATACCTTTACCTTAGTTAACTTGAGCATAAAAATTATTGAATTAAAAAAATGTGTACCTTGTGTGAAAATAATAATTAATAAATAATGTAATTTCCTTTCGGACAATAAAGTTATCTTTATCTTGTACTTCAGTGACATCATTTTTTGCTTTAAAATTATGGGTAAACATTTTTTAAATATACTAAATGTTGAAAATTTGTGTTACTTCAAAATGAGCAAGTTAATTTCAAAAATGATTTTTTTATGATTTCTTTGGTATTTTGCATGGGACAATACATCCCGAATGTCAACATCTTTATTTAAACATTTTAAATAAGTACCTCACAATTTTAATTCATATATTACTACCTGTATATACAGTAAATATTCCCTAATGTTCTTTGCAATGTCTGTGTGTATTTATGTACTTTTATGTGCAATTATTTCTTTCCTGTAGCAATTTCCTAATAAAGAAATTTTTCTTGCATTTGATTCTGACCTAAGGCCTAACAAAATGTTATTATTAATGTGCATGTCTTCTATGGTATTAAAATATATATTAAAAAATAAAAAAATTGGAATTTTTTTTTTTTTGGAAAAAAATTATTTAAAAAATATGTTATAGTAAATAGTCAGTAGATGATATTGTTTGTATTATCTCAATCATGTTTTACTTGAATATCAATGTACTAGCAAACAACCGGGGGGTGATATTTGGCTTTATAGCAAAAATAAAAAAATAAAAAGCCTCCCTCCCTCATCACTTTTCCAGCATACAGGTAGATAGGGTGATAAACTAATAATTTTAATTTTAATTAATAATTTTTATAGGGCCTAATATGATTACAATTCCCTAACATATTCAATTGAAAGTTTTCTATCAATTTCAAAATGAAAAATATCAACGTGTTCTTTTCTTTTGGTTGAAATAAAATGACTGACCTCAAAACCTACCCCTAACTTGTGTGTTTCTTAGTGAACCTCATTTTTATTCAATCACAGGAAACTTGTTTATAAATGGTTATCATCAATATTACTCAAAGAAATCTATTTTGCTTGCATTTTATACAGGTGTCTTTTACACATGTCTTTCTACAAAGCTTTAACCCTCACATTTTAACATTCAAACTAACCTCACCTCTTTAAATTAAGTTTGACATCTTTCTAGCAAATACTAAACAAATTACAAGAAATAACTACAGTATCTACAATGCATACATTTTATGCTTTAACATTTTTTGATGTGGTAAAATAGGAGCATGAAATTTAACTAACTTCTTTGGCACGAGCATTGCACTGAACTATAATGATCAAATAATTTCATTTTCTACAGCACATTTCTAGTCCATCAGAAATCACAGT